GTCGGGCAAAGTATAACTGGTTTAAAAAAAAATCAATTGTAGCCCCGAGTCTGGAATTGGAGCCTGGATATGGCAATAGACTCACCCCCTATTCCATGGGACTCATAACAAAAATAGTAAAAAGTGGGAGTTACATTGTACAGTGGCATTAAGTGCCGTAATGTGCACCTCTGCCTACCCCTTCGGGGATAAAAGGCATTATGTAACTACACTAAAGGTCATTCAAAGGTTAAAAATTTCAAAAGCACACACCTAAGTAACAGACAGGCCACTTTATCTAAACAAACAACAATCTTGAAACATTAGATATACCCATATTATAGGCTTAGGATCATCTTTGAATCATAAGGTTTTTACTTATTTCCACGGTAATATGATAAGATTGTGTACGATTTGTACAAACATGAATACATTACAGTTTATCTATAGGGAACATGTGATTGATCGTGGTTATTTGAGCAGAGCGCAGGAAATGATAAGGTGGCAAATATTTATCCGTATTGTTCTCTGGCGCCTCTCCATTCTACGTTTATAAACGTAGTATTTATACGTTACTTTTGTACCGTTGTTATTGTTTGGGAATATTGTTACTAGGGAATATATGTCTGAATACTCAAACGCTACTCAATTTTAAGTCGCGCTTAAGTATAGTTCTGTCTCCACAAATTCTTTGTAAAATGATAGAGATGGCACGAGTAATGTTTCAGTATTCCGGCATTAATTAGTAATTAGATGGTGATATTGATACGATATTCTAATGGTTTTTATTTAAAAATATACACATGATTACTTTCTCGTTATGCCATAGGTAGGTAGCATTAAATTCAAAACGACGTTGAATTAAAAATTGAATGAAGCTAACTAAACACAATGACTGCACGGTTAGCGCGGTGGCATGGCAATTGGCTACCACGCAACGTGTCGCAGGTTCGATTACCGCACGGAACAACAATCCACAGATTGTCGTTCCGGGTCTGGGTGTCATAAAGATGAAGAACCCCTCTGTGGTTCGAAACTAGTAGAGCTTTTCTCAGTATATTCACGTGAATAACCCGCGATTTTACTTAATTTTATATATTACGGTTACACGAATGACAACAATTAATTCATTTGTCAAGTCATTATTATGAGTAAAAAGTAGTAATGACTAAGATCCAAAAACGCAAAACGGAAACATAGACTAGGTAAGCCTAAAAGTCTGTATTTGATCAATGAACAAGAAATACTACGTCAAATGTATTTATGAATAAAACGACATTTACCTACCTACAATAAAATACCAAGTAACGAAAGGAGAAAATACAAAAAACAAATGACAAATTAGATTAATGGTAACAATTTCTCGGAACCTCATTACAAGATGACGGTATATTATAAACAGTGGTAATTTTTATTAGAATTATTATGGAAAATACGTCGGTAGACGTAACTACACTTTCTTTGGTGAGCTAACAGCAACTGCTGGTTCAATGTCTTATCTTGTTTTAAGAGACTTGTCACCTGTCTCCTCATGATTGATAAGGCAGTGCGTTTGTGGAAACCGCCTTTGAACGAATCAAGGTTAGAATGTGACATTGAATACTAATTTAGCATATGGGGTTTGTATGGTAGTAGCTATGAAAATTTTAAAACAAACAACAGATAGGAAACTAAAAATAACTTCGAAAAGACGTTAATTATATTGTCTTTTTCAGAGATAAATAGTTATAACACCAAGGTCGAAGTTGACAAATAACAAATGTTTTAAAAATTAAAAATGCTACCCGGATGCAATGCAATTTTACGGAATTCGTTTAGGTGCACCTAACAAAGAGTATTACATAACCAGACTGGTACATATCTGCCGTTGAATACTATTATCTAGAATTCTAGTCTAGCCATTATTATTTTGGAAAATTTTCAACTAGATCTTTATACGAATGCGTGAATAATTCGATACCAAACTTGGATAATACGTTATTCGCAAAGTGTAACAATCATTGTCTGTCAATGTTACGTGCTACATTTATCGTTATGGACGTCCTTCCTGTCATTTCTTCCTTTAATTTTCACGGTTTGTGAGACAAAAGTATATTCAAATGAGTGCGAAGATAGGTGTTGCTTTGTCGGAGTCACGGGTTGCGGCGCCGGCGCATCGTGCGGGGACCAACCTTGTTTCATTATAATACTTTCAACAATGCTGTATAAATAACTTCTACAAACAACTAGTCCACGTATTAATGTCTCATTATTTATTGCACCTTGTACATTACTACACAAGGCAAATAGACACGCATTTATTTATTTTCAAGTGCAAGTTGAATCGTATTTACTACGCCAGTAGCTTCACATGTTGGTAAATATTATTGTTGAAGTTCTAGTTATCTTGTTATGGTGTAAATTGTCGGCTAGTCAGCTCAATGGTTGATAATGGTGGTATTTAGCTATCGGGATTGCGTTGCGACATGTTTCATCAGATTACTTCGACATCATCCGATAGGTATTGGGAAGATAAGATCTGTCTGTGAACTTGAAATGTAGGTATTGGGTGGATATGTAGCAAGTTACCTACCTTGGCTTACTTCATTTTTTACGGATCACAAATAATATATAGGAATTGTAATTTTATTGTAGAATTTCGAGTTCGATTTTATCTCACACTATGAAAATGAATACATACGTCTGCTTTTGTAGTTGAGAAAGTTTAAGAGAATTAACCCTTGTTTATTCAAAGAGGGTATTCTTTAAAGTTCTAAAATACCAACTGCATTATAATAATCATTATCATCATCATCATATAAGCCATTTTTTTTTAAATTGTCGAGTGTCTGCTCCCGCCTAGGTGAGGCGGGAGGGAGCGTCAGACACTGACTAAAAACCACCCCGTTCCTTCTCCTGCACGTCGGGCCGGAGCCCCGGTAACCCGTTAGGTTCTCACACGTTCAACATCATATCAGCCATATAGGACTTCCACTGCTGAACATAGGCCTCACCCAATGACTTATTACATACGTAAAAGTAATTTACAATTTAAAACGTAGATTTTTATTCAACTGCAAATAGAACTCGTAAGACGTATCGTAGATATATCAAGTCAAATTGCCATCCTAACTAAAGAAACACCGTTATAAATCCGTCCTAAAGTTAACCAAAGTGAATTTTAAACAGACACCAATACGATAAAATCCATAGGATTTGCACGTAATAAACGGTTTCATCGGGTAAATCCGGGAGCGTTACTTTCAATTTCATCGTCAGTCTAAAGATAGAAAAAGATGTGAAAGCAATAAGACGAACAGACAATCAGTTTGTTTATATAAGGCAGTATTGGAGGATACAATCACTTGCGACTCCCCGGGACGCAATAACCGTAATCCCTGAGGCGGGACACCGAGAGATAAAATGTCAGAAGTGACTTTTAAAATGATATTATTTGCTTCCAGACCAAATGGAAGCACTTCCCTTTAAATATAATATCTTTTTGTTCAATTCTTTCCCGATATTTTCTTAATACGTTTAGTATATTGATCTTTGCGTTCTTTTATGTTATTTTTATTTGAATTAGGGGTTGTTTTATGGAATTCTGTTTTTAAATTGCTCCTGGGTTTATGTGTTGTATTGTACTTACGTACATTCTTGATATTTTTAACCGACTTCAAAAAGATCAGGAATGATCTGAGAACCTCAATTTGACCTGTATGTCTGTATGTTTGCGATCTTACGATTAGGTGAACCGATTTTGATGTGGTTTTCGGAAAAGTGTTCGTCACACTTGGAAAAAGGTTTCAGAATATTTATAATACTTATTTACCGACGTATAAAAGAGGGGATTGTAGACGGTTTTCTTAAACGCAGTTTACAAAATAATTATATAGCATTTAGGTATTGTTCTTGGAGGTAAATCCTAATTAATGCATTTACTTTTATAGTACCTAATTGACGAATGAATAACATTATTTAACTCCCAGTCTCCCACGTACACCACACAGGCACGTAACCATTTTAATGGCATCCTGAAGCACGAGAAGCAAGCAAACAATACAAAAAAAATAATATTTATTTCAGACGAGATACATCCATAGGGGTTAGTAAGAAAAAAATTAAAATCTCAAAAACTATGTATAGGAATGTATTCTTAGTTTTTTTTCTATCTACATAATAGTACGGATAAACTTCTTAGTTACAGGTTATCCCTATCTTATTACAGAAGCCAGAAGCCTCATAACTCCAAACTGAAAAAACTATAGGTTATTTCAGCTAACTAAATGGTGAACATTGTATGACTTTCATAAAATATCTAGGTAGAACTTCAACTACTTTAGTATATTACAATCAGGTCATAATAGTATTATACTCTCCTACCATTACATAATTGTATAAACTACACACAAAAACCTTTTTTGAAGTTGGTTAATGAAAATGCGTATCTTGCATTATACTATTCAATTGAATGTGTTTAATTATACATCTTAGCTTTCAGAGACTTTCTACTAATAATAAAAATGCTACAAAAAGAATAAAGATGTTTTATAAAGGCGTTGTGAAATATCTCTTCCAGTAATAAAGTATCGAGATCGGTCAGTAGAGTTGGGCGGGCGGCGTACCGAGGGAGGGCGGCGCGCGCGCCCAGTTCGCATCCTGCGTCCGACGCCGCGGCAACTGCCCAACTGGCGACATAACTACCCAGTACCCGCTACCCACAACTTTACCCGTCAACACTCAAACTTGTTATTTATTCACAAACTTCACTAAGTTCAGTGTTAATTGGACTCTAAGGAGTGACTTCGAATTGGTTTACTTTTTTATTTGATCATTAATTTGTGTTTTTTGTTCGTTACGTATTAAATGTGTTACAATGTGTGTTCGTATAATGATTTTATTGACAGTGTTTAATCACCTTTCTTAGTTCTTAAACTAGAAAAATATAATACAATTTTTTTTTTGCCAAATTAATTAAAAAAGCAGTATGAGAATTCAAAATAAAATTAATAATAAAACAACCTTGCATCCTTAAATCTTTGACCACATTATTATAAGGTCCAAAATCCTATGACCGTTAACTAACCATGGCAGACAAATTACATGAATACCAAGGTGTGACGGGTCGGCTCCATGGTGCTCGTGACCGGTACAAGGAGAGGTGGTCGAGGTGGCGGGAACAGCATCCTCGAGGAGTCAGGGATGTGGTGGCTGAGACTCTGTTTGGGATCCCCAACTCTGACGAGCCCCCTGAAAGAGTATGGCAGGATAGTGCCTACAGCGATTTGTATAGGTAAGTCGATAAAGCAACTAACCATATACCTCATACTATTAATAGTTAGAATCAGAATCAGAACCAGAATCAGAATAGTTTTATTTGTAAACATGGGTATGTGAGGTGTTACAGGTAGGTAGATTCTCCATGTTTCCCCAGAGGCGTACAAATATTATATATAATTAAAATTAACATTGTCATCATTCAAAAATTAATTAATTGTAAATTAAATTGAATCCGATTAAGTAACATGTCATACAATACTAATGTCAAATGAAATTAGGATCATAAAATAAGTCATAAATATACTAAAATTGTTTATTGTACATAAAAATGTAAAAAAATAAATAAAAGGTTTGTGTGGTCATCCCTAAATCGTCGACTTAAAGATTTCTTCCTAAGTACGAAAGGTATTGTGTTTGGATTCGATGAAAAGACTGATCTAGAAAAAAAATCTCTTTTTTTATGAATTTTATGAAAATGTTCAGGATTTAATAATGAACGACTCGCTTTAGATAAATAATTACTTTAATACAGATCGATTAAATATATAAGTAATTTCTTCGAGCACGACACCTCTGTCGCTGACCAAATCTGTTGCCGGCCGATCGGGGCGCGGCGGCGGTGCGCCCGATCAGCTGTGTGCGTCCCCCGCCCGCCGCGTCTCCCGCCGCTGTGGTCCACACGTTAGATGCGTGAACACCTCCGGCGCGTTGAAAGCATAGCTTTCAAGAAGTAGACGAGGTCTGGAGCCTCGGGACGCCTCCCTCTGGTTCGTTGTCATCTTTCGATTTGAAGTGGGCAGAAGACATAGTTTATTGATAGCCTTCGTATAATGCCCCTCGAAGTAGTGACGTCAGCCACCCTACTAACGCCATCGGCCTGGGTAGAGGCGACACACCCATCCCCGCCATTGTAATGGCGGTAAGTTGTCCTCCTTCAGTACCACCACGTCCCCGCAGGCGAGGCCTTGTTGCCCGGTGCGCCATTTGGTGCGTTGCTGCAACTCGGAGATGTACTCAAGGCGCCACCGCTCCCAGAAGTGCTGCCTTATTTTCTCAATAAGCTCGTATCTGTTTGGTCTAGTAGCAGTGATGGGCTTCGTCGGAATAGACGTAAGTGGTCTCCCAATTAAGAAGTGGCCTGGGGTCAGAGGAGAAGGATCAGTAACATTGGACGAGAGAGGAGTCAGCGGACGTGAGTTAAAGATAGCTTCGATTTGCGCAAATAGCGTTGCTAGCTCCTCAAACGTCAAAGCAGCATTTCCAGCTACACGTTTTAAGTGAAATTTTGCTGATTTAATTCCAGCTTCAAATATACCACCAAAGTGGAGAGTAATGCGGGGCTAAATACAAATTTGATTCCTTCAGAAGTAGCATAATCACTAACAGACTGACGGCTGGATCTAAGCAACCTACCCAGTTCATTGTTCGCACCCACAAAATTCCTGCCGTTGTCGCAAAAAATCTCATGACATTTTCCTCTACGTGATATGAACCGTTTTAGGCATAAAATAAAAGCTTGAGTACTCAATTCACTCACCAGCTCTAAATGTATTGCCTTTGTACTGAGGCAAACAAATAAACATAAGTAACATTTAGTGATACGATTACCACGACCTTTCCGGTTACTAATCATGAAAGGTCCAGCAAAGTCAACTCCACACGAGTAGAAAGGAAAACAAGCATTTGTACGCGCCTCAGGTAAATGACCCATTATTGGCTGCATCGTATCCGCTCTTAGACGAACGCAAATAATACATTGTCTAACTACTTGCCGCGCTAAACATCTTCCACCAATAGGCCAGTATTTATCACGCACTGACGCTAACAGCAGCTGTTGACCTGCGTGGAACAAACGTATATGTTCATTAATCATTAATAGCTTGGTAAAATGATGTTTTGAATGTAATAGTATAGGGTGCTTCTTATCGAAATTATAAGTTGAGTTTCCCAAACGACCACCCACTCGAACTATATCGTGTGAATCCACAAATGGAGTCAACTGTAGTAATTTACTCTTTTGTGGTAATTGTTTTCCTTGCCTGAGTAACCCAATTTCAAAAGGAAACGATTGTACTTGACATTTTTTTATTAGTAATACCACTGAATTATTTATTTCGTCTGAACTTATAGGGCCTGAATATTTATGTTTGTTTTTATTGCAATTGTTAACAAAACGTAACACATAGGCAAATATTCTACTTATTTTATTGAAACTCGAGTACCTTTTAAATTCTATAAATAAACTACCGTCATCAGAATTGTCCAATGCAGCTATCAAAGAATGTACCTTTAACTCAGGTAAGTTTTGAACTACGAAAGAATTCTGTGGCCACTCTGAACGCTCCTTCTGTAGGAAAGAAGGACCTTCCCACCACAATGAAGAAGATAAAAGGTCCTGGTGTTCAACTCCTCTTGAGGCCAAGTCAGCTGGGTTCATATTCGTAGGTACATGTCTGTGTTCGAAACCACTTGTTAGCTCGTTAATTTCATTAACCCTATTGCAGACAAACATTTTAAGATTTCTTACATCAGTTCTTAGCCAACCTAAGACAACTGTCGAATCTGTCCAAATAGTTTTGTTAGTTATATTAAATCGTAATGACTGTATAATTTTATCACATAATCTAGCTCCCAGCAAAGTACCAAGTAATTCCAATTTCGGTATAGTAATAGGTTTTAAGGGTGCAACACGTGCCTTTGCGCACAAAAGTCTAACAGTGACCTCATTTTTTTCATTTGTTGACCGTAAATATACACATGAGGCATATGCTTTCTGTGACGCATCAACAAAACAATGCAATTCTATTGACACGGGGTTATCGCAAAGAACATATCTATTAATTTTAATATTAGAAATGTAATGTAAATTAGAAATAAATTTTAACCACGTATCCAATAGAATTTGTGGTATGGGGTCGTCCCAATTTAATTTTATGTTTGGGATCCCCAACTCTGACGAGCCCCCTGAAAGAGTATGGCAGGATAGTGCCTACAGCGATTTGTATAGGTAAGTCGATAAAGCAACTAACCATATACCTCATACTATTAATAGTTAGAATCAGAATCAGAACCAGAATCAGAATAGTTTTATTTGTAAACATGGGTATGTGAGGTGTTACAGGTAGGTAGATTCTCCATGTTTCCCCAGAGGCGTACAAATATTATATATAATTAAAATTAACATTGTCATCATTCAAAAATTAATTAATTGTAAATTAAATTGAATCCGATTAAGTAACATGTCATACAATACTAATGTCAAATGAAATTAGGATCATAAAATAAGTCATAAATATACTAAAATTGTTTATTGTACATAAAAATGTAAAAAAATAAATAAAAGGTTTGTGTGGTCATCCCTAAATCGTCGACTTAAAGATTTCTTCCTAAGTACGAAAGGTATTGTGTTTGGATTCGATGAAAAGACTGATCTAGAAAAAAAATCTCGTTTTAGAATTTATGGTCCGTTTCTGTTAATATATATAGCTGGCCCGTATATTAAGGTTATTGTGAAGAAGGAAGGAAAATTGTAATCTTGTTTTACATTTTTGAAACAGCTCCAATATTATTTCTTTTATCAAATAAATCAATGTTTCAGTTGACAAGTAAGTAGATAAAAAGTGCGTTTAGATGTAGGCATTGGAAAAATAAGTCTGGTGTAGGAAATAAAGCAGATACCTAATACCTATCATCATGATTTCCAACATGGTAACACTGTGTCACTGTCATATTTATCAATGCAAATGATGAATTTTAATACATAATATGAATCATGTTTTATTGTTAGACTCTTTTCCATTTCAAGCACTTAATTTCTGTATACAAGCTTATATAGTATATAGGCTTATTTCTATATTTTTCTGTCTCGTTGGCCGACTGGTCGCAACTGCCAATCGCAAGGGGTCTCGGGTCGGACAAAGTATTACTAGGTTTTTTTTTTCAAAAAATATCAGTAGTGGCACGGAGTCTGGAAATGTGCCCGATATATGGCAATAGGCTCACCCCCTATTACATGGGACTCATAACATAAAATAGGGAAAAGTGGGTGTTACATTTTACTACTCTGCCTACCCCTTCGGGAATAAAAGGCGTGATGTTATGTGTTTCTTCCAATAGCCAAAAAACCAAAATATATTTTAGTCGAAAGTAAAACTTAAATAGAAACAAATGAAAGGCTTAAATTGTGTAACTTTTTAAACATAATTGTAATTGTATCCCATGTTTTTAGGAGAAAGAGTCGTATCGAGTTGATGCGGATATCGGCGGCAGTTATGGGTATAGAGTTTTCTTACGCCGGAGAGACTGCTTTCGTCTCGCCCACTCTGCTGCAGATAGGGGTGCCCCACCAACAGATGACACTCGTTTGGGCACTGTCACCCCTAATTGGATTCTTCATGACCCCGCTATTGGGGTCACTCAGTGATCGCTGTCGTTCCAAGTTCGGGAGAAGAAGACCTTTCATTGTGCTCATGTCCGTTGGAGTATTGTTAGGTAAGGAGAGCGTAGACATAGATTCTTACCCTTTCATCTTCATAGGAACAGATTACAAACTAAAAAAGCATTTTTTTTATTTCAAATTGGTTATTTAGAAAGTAGATTTAATAAGTACAACTAGTAAATACTTTAGAGTCTATAAATAAAGCAATCAGAGTCTGTTTCCAACATTCCACACAAATACAAACAATATTTAGTGGTATTTACATCGTTTACCTTCCGATCGTTGATGTATATATAAAATTTAATGAGTCGTCGGCACGCAAACCTTTATAAACAACGTCTACCTGTTTGATAAAGAGTTCAGTACGAATTTGCCCAAAGATCTAAAGGATTAAATTAAATTTGTAATGGAGGCATTCGTGTTGGAGACCCGAAATCCTAAGCAAACAGTTATTACTTGAAGAGATAACGAAATATTCCTAATTACTGTTTCGGAAATTCAAGTGGGATAATAAAGGCCTGTTTACGTGGGAGTGGGAAGCTTGAGGCAGAAGCAACAGGCGTCCGAACCGAGTTCGTAAACAAGGAGCGTTTTGTGACGAAAATTACGGATCACGTGGCTGTATTCTGGGAAAACTTGATGTGCGTTTACTTGTTGAAAGTGACAGGCGATTTACGTTTTTCTTTTAATAACACAATGCTACGTGTCAACTTTAGCAACAGAATGTTCATAATAATAATAAAGAGAACAATTATTTGGTCCAATATATTAATATTCTATTTTGCTTTCAGGTTTAATTCTAGTCCCCAATGGTGAAGATATAGGCTATGCTCTCGGTGATGAGTTGCCTCTAAACAGGACAGAAGCGCCATCTGTTTTGGGCCCACGTAGTTCTGCGCTGGACAAGGAACATAGCAATTATCATCCTTGGGGCGTACTCTTTACAGTCCTTGGTACTGTGTTCCTGGACTTTGATGCTGACGCCTGCCAGAGCCCGGCCCGAGCTTATCTCCTTGACGTGACAGTTCCAGGTCAGATCTGTTTGAAGAAAGTTTTATTTTATAGTTGTTTTGTTCCAATTACCACCATGTGACCAAGTGACGTCGTCAACTAGTAATGACTGTGTTTTTGAATAGACCAAGGTTTGTTTTGCCACTAGTGTATAAAGACAGAGAAGGGATTTAACTGTAATGCAAATATAGAACTTAAAAAACGTTCCTTTGCACAGGGGCGTAGCTAGCGCCGTATCTGCCCTATCAATTATATGGGGCCCCCGGACTACAGGGCCCCCAACGTGTGTAAACAAAAATATTAAAACTTCTCAATTTATATTTTATTTCATGCGTTCAAAGGTTGGCAGAAACCATGGAATAAGGAAATCTATTTCATGGCAGAATCTTTGAAAAAACTGAACTAATCATTGTCCGATAATTTGGGCAGAGGCCTGGCCCGACCTGGAAAGTTTTCCGGTTTTAACACAAATTATTAGGATATTATGTAAAAAAAAATGTCTTCTGAGAAATTTTTAAGTACCTTTCATAAGGGCCCCAAAACCATTTTTATACGGGGCCCCGCCAAGATATGCTACGCCATTTGAGGGTAAAAAAATGGCTGTCAAAAGTCGTAACATAAAAATAGGTACAGGATTGTACCATTTTACGTAAAGGTGAACAACACTTGAAGCAGTGACTTTGCCAAGTGGTACTCATAGAAAATAATATTTCTAATTTACACGCAACAATAGAATAGCTGCTTGATTGAATGTTACTAAAATAGAACAAACTTATACATCACGATAACTAGCCAATAATATATGCTTGTAAGCCGTTAGGTAAGATACTTCACTTATTACTATAGATTCATAATAATTACTTAGAAAACTACGTCAATATGAATCAGAAATTCTTTGAATCTCGTTTATAATATGTTTGTGTAGTATTAATATGGTGATTAAAGTTTATTTATATTTATAGTCGTGGAAATGAAAATCTCACAATTACTTGTACTAATTGCTGTTACACGTAAGGTTCTGATTAACGGAAGTGTTTGGTGAATTCTTCGAAATAAAACTATCTAAGATTAGTTTTAAATATGGGAGAGCCATGCTTCGGCATGAATGGGTCGGCTCGACCGGAGTGTTACCACTGCCTCGTAGAAAACTGACGTTGTTTCACGTCACGCTTGCGTTGTGTTTCGTTGTGTGAGTGAGGTTACCGCAGGCCCAATTACCCACCTCCCAATCTCCCAAATCCCCAATTCCCAGGTGTTTCAAGTGTCCATGGGCGACGCCAATTGCTTACCATCAGATGATCCGTCTGATCGTAATCCGGCTTGTGCTATAAAAAAATATATCTTATTCTTTTAACCGATTATCTCGCGATTGGCCGAACCGATTTTAATGCGGTTTTCAGAAAACTATGTGTTACACTCAGAAGAAGATTTTAGTACCTATATTAATTAACAGTATTATTCAAAAGGGAGGAAGTTGAAGTTGGGTTTTTTTAAACGTAGTTTATTCAAGAATTGTAGGTAATTTGATTTGTTCAAAACGATTCCAGTTTTTGTAATATTTGTAGAATAGTGGTTCAATTAATTTAACCCATTAAATATATCTTACTAACTGCCATGCATGCAAAATAAATATAGGTAAAATTTGAGGAAAAATTCGAGGAAATTTCGTTATCAGTTTTCATAAGTGTTTTAACCACACCGATGTTTCTGGATTTCAACGAAACTGTTGTTGTTGTATCGTAATGAGTTCTCTGATTAGAATTAAAGTAAAATCCTTAACCTAGTTTGTAGAAAAATGTATATAATTTTAATATTTGCTCGTACAAGTACGTCATACGTGACATGTGACTGTGATATGCGTCTGACAGATTTTCGGCGGCAGAGAGTGATGAACTACAAAACAGACTCTTTACTTTTATCATCTAACGTCTGTTCGTGATTGATTTATCTCGCAGTCAACGTTTATATTTGGGGTTTTTTCAAAGATACACACTCGGCGACATGATTATTTTAACATCTCTTAGTAATATTTCACAAATACGCAAGTACTTTTATTTTAGTTAATACATGTTGTACATCTTTTTCTGTCTTAAATCTGATTTCGTTTATAAATAGTTCTAAACGATTTTATCGTTTATCAATGTCTTTGCTCTTATGAGTTACTATCCCTTTTTATTTTCAATGGATGTATTATCTGTAGTACCTATTTGGTGGATGTCTTCCGGCTGATGATGACGATGAACTGTAATATTTTCGCCACAGATCGCTTTCAGAGAGAGATGAGAGAGCCATGCTTCAGCACGAATGGGCCGGCTCGACCGGAGTGATACCACGGCCTTACAGAAAATCGACGTGAAACAACGCTTGCGTTGTGTGAATGAAGTTACCCCCTCCCCGATCTCTCTAATCCCTGAATTCTCCTCAAATTCCTAAACCCCAAAAGGCCGGTAACGCACTTATAACGCCTTTGGTGTTCCGGGAGTCCATGGCGACGCCGATTGCTTCCATCAGGTGATCCGTCTGCTCGTTTACCAGCTTATACCATAAAGAAAAGAAAAGAAAAGAAAAGCTCTTAATTAGAATAAGGAAATTGCTGTCGCAAAACGGTTTATCTAATTATTTTTATTTCCTAACTTACAAATATTATTCTAGACCTTACGTCAAAGTATGAATCAATTTGTTAATGTGACGGTAGTAACTATACATATATACCCGTCTGTCATCTTATGCAAAGAAGGACACACTTACTATGAACACTGGTAACTTTTTGATCAAGTTCTATAATGCCTTTAATTTAACCTGCTCTTCAAGTCATATATATACACAGATAGAACGAACGAGTACACTGTGTTGTCACAAACGTACATATATCTTTGTATATAAGTGCTTATGTACTTACCCAAATGCAGACTTTGCCTTTATGATAGATAAACTATATTTTGAAGATGATGAAGATGTTTTACTTGTAGAGCCACAGCGAAAAACCATTTATTTATTTATACTTTATTGCACACACAGAAAAAAATTGTAAACATTGCACCAGTAATTTGAGTACAATGGGCGGTCTTATCACACGCGGCGATTTCTTCCAGACAACCTTTGGATGGAATTTTAGAAAAGAATCTGGGAATGGGTGGTAGTTGCACAATAAAAATAAAACCAAAATAGAAGAAAAACAATAAAAACAAAAAAAAAAACAAATTAAATCATCATCGTCATCACCACCAACAGCCTATAAGTGCCCACTGCTGAGCAAAGCCTCTTCTCGTACGGAGACGGTTTAATGCCCACGATTGATAAAAGTGGGTTGGCGATTTCAAACTTACAATTAGAAATTATAAGTCCAGGTTTTCTCACAATGTTTTCCTTCACCGTCTGTCAGTGGTGTCTAAATAATCTTAGGAAGTACATTTTACTCGGAAAAAGTCACATTGGTACTTGGTGTTGGTAGGTTTCGAAACCGCACCCTCATGTATGAGAAGCGGAAGTCTTAAACCTCCGGGCCACCACGAAATTTCACAGCTAAAAACCATACAGATGTTAAACTAAAGTCGCTAACTGTATGTGAGGCTGAAAGTGATCAAAAGTACATTTAATGACCCAGTTAACATTGTATATACACACATTTACCAGCAGGACACGTGGGTCGCAAAATAAAGTAAAGTAACACAATCGTGCAACCTGAATAAAAATGAATTATGATTTCTAAACATCATTCTATACGAACATCCACATCGGCTTAAAATCTTAATATTCTTAGTAAATTCGTCATATTCTGTACACTATATATTTACATCCCGCAATCGTTTGGACGTCCCATGAAGGCGAAAGTGCATTTAATCTGGCGTCCACCTGCTTGTGGCGTCCGCATACCGGACGCCACTTTTTTGGCCTATGCTACTTAGGTCCTTTTGGTCCTGGCTGCACGTAGGTTAAAAATCGACAGAGGCCAAAAGATCGGTTCAATGGCTGTTATAGTATTTTGAAAAGTTCCCAAAGAAATCTCAGCGCAGATAGAGCGCTGCTGTAGCGCGTATATCCACAGCTGTATATTTTTGGGATTTTTTGACTATAAGTCCGCGTATTTGGCGTCTTCAAAAAAATAACAGCGACGTTGCCAGTTCGCTCATTAAATCCGTGGAAATAGTTCATAATATGTATTATTTACCGCATTCAAAACAATATTCATCGTCGTACATTTCGGATGTGTTGCGTATTATTTGGAGTCCGATTTTATTATAATCATGTGATTGCAACTGACGACAACTTATCTGCAACCCTGTTCTCAATTTGTAAATATCAGTGATATAATAGATGAGGGTATAAATTTATTCCTTAAAGGGATCTTAGAAATACGTACTAAAGTGACAAAATTATATGTCTTACCACAAAAAAGGTTAACCCGAGTTTAACTCGTCTTAAATGTGTATTTAGATAGTATAGTCTCCGTATAAATTTTGACGTGATTTTATTAACTTTATCTATTTATGTGGTTAGAAGATGCATCTAACACTGAATAATTAATTAATGTTGTATTACTGATCAAATCAATCAACGTTTATCTTCTTATTTCTAGCCTTGGCGTGTTATAAAGATCCAATTAGGAATTATAAATGTTTTTGATTACAAAACATAAACACTTCATTAAAAGTGATATCCATATTTAACATAACATAACATCACGCCAATCACACTGTACAATGTAATATCCACAGTTTTATTATTTATGTTATGAGTCCCATGTAATAGGGGGTGAGTTTATTGCCATATACCGGGCACACTTCCAGACTCTTGAAAAAACCCAGTAATACTTTGCCCAACCGGGAATGAAACCCGAGACTCTTTGCCAGGCGATCGCACTTGCGACCACTCGGCCAACGAGGCAGTAAAATGATATCCATATTCTTTGTTTTTATTTACTTACTTAGAATTGGTAACTTCATATCAATAAGCTGCCAATTAAATATTTGATACAATTAAGCTGGTTTCAAAGCTAGGGGATATGGGCAGCGCGGCTGAAGCGCGGGCTTCAACAATAGAGGCATCAGGCAACAATCCAATAGAGGAGTTAATCGAGTGGCCACAACTAGAAGTATTAAATTAGGAATCTTGCCTTAAATGAAATTGAAATTCAATACAATATTTGCGCACAAAGATCAGATTAGGTGTGGTCTTCAGTTACTTAAGGTTTAGATTAAAATAAAAGTGTATCTCATAGATCATAATTTCTAGCGATAAAGTCCTCTACTGGGACCTCTACCTCTATGACAGACTTTATGACAGCGTCGCAATAAAACGATGCTAGAGCTCTCATCATCTCCAAGCGCGAGGCATTTTAGCAGCGCTGCCCAATCCTCTAGCTCTGAAACCAGCCTAAATGAAAGAAGTTTTGAACATATTATACTTAATAAAACCATTCTAGTAATAAGATATATTATTATTATCTTTACTAATTACGGACGCCCAATAGCTATACGTGGACGTTCAATAGCTATATACGGACGCCCAATAGCTATATACGGACGTTCAATAGCTATATACGGACGCCCAATAGCTATATACGAACGTTCAACAGCAATATACTGACGATCAATAGCTAGGTGATCTAACATGATACCTTTTTTTTTGAGGGATAAAAAATCATCAAATGCCTTTTGCCGCCGGCCGCCGGCGGCCGCACTGGTGAGGCGAGTGGAAGTTTCAGAGGAAGTTTCTCTTACTGACTTTTTTTTAAGCGGGAAAATCATCGATTGCTGCTCCCGCCTGGGTAAGGCGGGAGGGAGTGTCACTCTTACTGACTAAAACCACCCCGTTCCTTCTCCTGCATGTCCAGCCGGAGCCCCGGTTACCCGTTAGGTTCTCCGCGACTCCGACTCGGCATCGGCCCTGTTGGGCCCCATCTGTGGTGGTTTTATGGCTCTTTGAGCCGCACGTTCAGATCTGTTTCTGGTCGGACGGGAAGCCAGAGCCACCCATGCTCGCCGTCCGCAGGCCCGCGCTTACGGTGGCCGGAGATCGTCCCATGATCCCCGACGCCCGGTGTGTCCTTCGCGATGGCTGGGTTGCGAGGAGGCAGCGCTTCGCTGCCTCATGCGTCCCGCCTCCTCCTTTGCTAGCTTGACTGCTTCGCAAAAGGAGGAGACGGCATCCCAGTCCCCCTCGCTCCGCATCATGGCCTGCACTAGGCCCGGACGCGAGAGGTCGCCATCGCCGATCACTTCCCTGAGGGTACGGCGGTGCTCAGCCCACGCAATGCATTCCGCTATAGTGTGTTCCACCGTGTCCTCAGGGCGGTCCTCACAGTGATGACACCCGGACGTTTCCTCCCGCCCCATCAGACACAGGTACCTTCCGACTCTTACTGACTTAAAACCACCCCGTTCCTATTCCTGCACTTCGAGTCGGAGCCCCGGTCATCCTTTAAGTCCTCTGTGACTCCGTATGGGCATCAGCTCCATCCGTGGTGGTCTGATGGCTCCTTGGGGTGTATGCGGAACGCGACGCGCCGTACGTTCGGGTCTGGTTCTGATCGGGCGGCAAGTCATCCGTGCTCGCCGACCGCAGGCCCGTGCTTACGGTGGACGGAGACCGTTTCGCGATCCCCGACGCCTGGAGTGTCTCTCGTGACGGCTGGAGCGTGAGGAGGCTCGTTCCCTCACGAGCTCCGCCTCCTCCTTAGCTAGCAGGACTGCTTCGCAGAAGGAGGAGACGGCATCCCTGTCTCCCTCACTCTGTACCATGGTCTGAACCAGTGTCGGACGCGAGAGGTCGCCGTCGCCGATCACATTCCTGAGGACACGACGGTGTTCAGCCCACGCAGGGCACACTGCCACCGTATGCTCCACCGTGTCCCCCGGGTGGCCCTCGCCATGATGACACCCGAGCGTTTCCTCCCGCCCAATCCGAAGCAGGAACCTACCGAAAATTCCGTGTCCGGTAAGCACCTGCGTCAGGCGGTAGATAAGGACGCCGTAGCGTCTCTGTCTCTCAAGCCACTCCTCAAATCTAACATGACACCTGCTGAGGAAGTACGTGGATGTTCAATAGCTATATACGGACGCCCAATAGCTATATATGGACGTTCAATAGCTATATACGGACGCCCAATAGCTATATACGGACGTTCGATAGCTAAGTGATCTTACATGATACCTGCTGAGGAAGAAACTTTCTTCGCGCGCATGGCCATCGTCAGGCTCCGCAAGAGACCCCTGCCATTACCATGTCAATTGTCAGGATCCGCAATCAACGGACCTCCCATTTCCGTGTGTGAGCAGTATAGTGATGTAGCTTTTTACTTGATGACCATAGCGTTTGGGTCAACTGAAATTTGCATGACCATTTTTGAATTCCTAACGTAGCCCAGTAGATGGTGCTAGTCCAGCAGTGGACTTAAATAGGCTGATGATATTAATAACTATATACGGACGCCCAATAGCTAGATGATCTTTCACAGTTATAGATGATCTTACATGATGACCGCTGGGGAAGAAACTTTTCATTTTACTCTTGCTTGTTTGAAATAAAAATTGAGTTCTGAGTTTCTTTCTTTAGATAAATTTGTAAAACCGGTACGCCGCGCCGATCACATACGGGCTGAACCGATTTGTATTTATGTATGGAATAGACTAGGCAAACATTTAAAAAATATGTTATTCCTACTGCGGCATCTTCTCATGTAAAAATCTCATAGAAACCTCAATTTTTTTGCATCTTGTTACCAATATTATACCAATATCGGGCATTAGTATATGTATTGATAGATTGTAATACTGTTAAAACTCTGTCCCAGACGAGTGACAAGAGAGAGGAAAAGAAAGAGACAAGTGAACCCAAAGCTGGCAACGTTGCACTCGCAAATACCATCCACGCTGTGAGGACGTTAATTAGCCGAAGCCATGGTTAAATCACGATCAATATATCTAGGAGCCCAATTTGTTATCACCATTGTTTGGGGTTCAAAAATGTTGCAGCATGACTGCAAGAAGAATATCGCGAAAAATAAAATTATCGGAAAATGACGTATCCTACAAAGCTGGAAATCGAATAACTAAGCAATATTCATCAAGACATATAAAAAAAATTTTCGGGAACTGGGGGACGTCGTAATGATGCGCGACATGTGTGACGCCAAAATGATTCCAGGATGTAAATATATATATATATATATTAATATATACATCAAGTTTCATAGTATTTGTTTATATAATTATAATTTAATACAAGTCTAGTTGTATAAGTTTTTATGTACGTAAGTATATATGTAGTCTGTTTGGCTGTCTTCTATGTACATTTTCATCTGAAAGACAATATTTAGAGAACAAATGTTTGTCGTGAGATGTGACTGGAAAATCGTTGCCTGTCACATACTTACTTATAACTTATATACATAGTGATGTGATAATATATATTTATTTATGAGGGCTTTGGAAGGAATGTGACATTTTACCTTTTTATTTTAATGTAAGTGTTCGCATATTCAGATGCTTTTTCTAATAAGATTTTCATGAAGTGAGTAGATTAAGGTACGGTAATCAAACGCGACTAAGGTGAAAAGAAGAGAAGGTACCAAGTTAATTTTATCGACAAGTGAGAAATATAACTTCACACATTATATACACATCAAAATAGGAATCCTCTTATTTTATAAAGTCGGTAAAGTATAGAGATCCGTTTGGTTCACACGAAACCATAACTTAACCCTTCATTTTGATTCTCGATAACTTTTTTACATAGCTTTCTTTCATAAGGGTTCCATTCACAGTTTTAATTTATTTACCAGAATCTCCACTTTTGATTTAATGTGGAATTACGTAACAGGGAAAATATAGGTACTAGTCTTGCTACCCATCAACCTTGGTCTGTACAATCTTATCGAAATTATCTTCTCGATACGGACCTACTCAGTTCCTATACAAGAGAGTAAGAATGATATATTCGAAATACACGAAAAATAACATATATATATACTCGTAATAATGATGCACATGTTTTAATGTAACACACCCTTTTTACGGTACGTCACGTACATACATACTACAAACACAATAACAAATAGAGAAGTTGAATTTGATTCTGTCTTTAACTGCCAATAAAAAACTGTTTAAGGTCAATGCTACGTTAACGTCAGCTAGCGGTATACCCCCATGGCGTATATATGTGATAAAATACTGTTATAAATTCAAAAACTTTTCAGCCGCCCTAGTATCGACATCGCTACACTAATTAAAATAATTAAAGTATGATCATGAAAAAAAATAATTTGTTCTATTAAAGGGGATGCTCTATTTTGTAAATTAAGATTAGATCATGTTGCCATTTCTAAAAAAAGGATATTCCTTTATAAATGGGGTTTAAATCCATTACATATAATCTGCCATATTAGAAGTTACTTAAAATAGGCAATTCTCTAGGAAGATTGTATGACTATGTAAATATTATATGTATACAAAATATTAAATAACACTTCCTTCCACAGAGGACCATGCTAAAGGTCTCAGCACATTCACGGTGATGGCTGGACTAGGCGGCTTCATGGGGTATGCGCTCGGCGGCATAAACTGGGACGACACCCGATTAGGTAAATACGATTTAGTGACCGGACGGCTAATTTTCCGAGCGTCTATTACGTTATGCTGGCTAATACGATATTATTAGAATTACGTCTAGTACAGTGTATAATTGGATTAAATCCGGGGTAATGTTTGGTAATGTAAAACAGCAGTTCTTATTAATCAGTACCTATGTTTAAAGTAAACGACTGCCTTATTGGCAGTGGGCAAGGGGTCTCGGGTTCGATTCCCGGGTCGGGCAAAGTAGGTACTGAGTTTTAAAATAAAATCTCAATGGTAGCAGTTATGTATGTATGTTTAACGTGACTGTTTGACAAACTCGACTAGTTTCAAGCCTTCCTCGGGTCTCACATTCATGAGCAGCATAATCAGGTTTGTGTCTAACAATGAGTTCGAAGGCAAAAAAATTGGTGATAAATTTGAAATATGTTAGTAAATAATTCAGGAATTTCGAAACGGAAAGTTGAATAATGCTTATATGATTATATGTGTACTTGTAACACAGATTTACTAGATTATACCTAGATATTTGGTTCAATGTGACTCTTCACACCTCTCTTCACATCTACCTCGGTAAATACGATGCGTACGGTAATTACCGTATCATACTCATTATATATGTCGTAGGATAATTTGATACTTCGAATCTTCGCGGAAATCCTAGGGGTTTTGCGAAAACGCGGATAATTAGACATAGGCGAAAAATTATCAAATCTTACTGGACAAAGTCAGGATTTTTGTGAAAATGCTCGTTACTATAGTAAGATTTGATGTGCTCAACACTGATTGGCTACAATTTTGTTGGCTGACTTCTAATTGGTTCCTAGTTTGCCGATGATTAACTTCAAGTATTGTATCATAGAGTTATGAAGGTTTAGAATAGGTGAGAAAGAAAAATCACTAAATTGATTTTTATAAACTTTTATTGAAAATTTTAGTATGTATGTTGTTTTCTACAGACAATAGGAGATCACAGTCGTAGTAAAAAAAATGATCCAATTTTAGGGTGTAATCCATAAATGGGATGAAACTGGTCGTTTAAGACGACAAAAAAACATTTAAGACGTCAACCAATCAGAGACGATCTCTTATTGAACGCGCTGACCGACCAATCAGCGTTCTTATTTCATAACAGCCAGCGTTTCGTTTCGCAATCTTACTATAGTAACGAGTATTTTCGCAAAAATCCTGACTTTGTCGAGTAAGATTTGATAATTTTTCGCCTATGTCTAATTATCCGCGTTTTCGCAAAACCCCTAGGATTTCCGCGAAGATTCGAAATATCAAATTATCCTACGACATATATATACAATATACATGCAACTGATTATTGAGTATTGTAAATTATGATTAATGCTTCAAGTGGCGCCTGAATAGTTAGAACACCGCTAAATCCGAGAATTTCAATAAAAGTAGACATTCAAGTATTTTGTTTTGATTTTCTTAGTATTTTAAAAAGGTTTTCAAATTTCTTTTTAATGAGAAAAAGCACATTTTTAGCGTCATCACGAAATTTAAATAAAACAATATAAAATTAAATCAAGAATCCCCAACGTTGACAGGTGAACTATTCGGTGGGCACGTCCGTGCAGTGTTCTCACTAATCACCATAATCTTCGTCGCTTGTGTCACCGCTACTATCACCAGCTTCAAGGAGATACCTCTGTCTGAACTAACTGACCAAGAGGAGTTCAGAAAACAAGCGGAGACTGAACGAGCCCAAGAGAGCTTCGACGAGGGTCCTGAAGGACCGGACAAGACCCTGAAGAAGGATAATGTAACGTATGGAGCGTTAAATCAGCCGGAGGTATGATAATTATATACCTATTATAATTGGCATGGCGACTATATTTTAATTTTTTGTCCGTCTTTTAGATATTTTAAAAATCTTATTTTTTCTTTTTTCTCGTATCCAAAAAAACATGTAGATATTTTGAGTTAAAATGACGCGTGACGTCACAATTATATAGGTACGATTTCTCTGTAAGTGTGACGTCAATACCCCCCACTCCCTAACTTTAATGCGGAATAACTACGTATACTTCTGTTAATTTGATAAAACAAAAAATACGTGTCTGATATTTTCGTGCGATCTTAATGACGGACTAATTACTTTTTTGATTTTTTTACCCTGTCGACACGCCTATTGTGAAGTAATTTAATGTTAAGCTGATCTGTTGGTCGAGTAGCCGCAAGCGCTACTGCAAAATAAGGCTTTGAGGTTTAATTTCTAGGTTGGACAAAGAATAATTAGGGATTCCACAACAAGATATTCTCACCTAAAATACCATTTAAGTAATACTCTATTTTCATCTTTAATTTTCGCCACTTTTGAAGCTGTTTACGTAAAATTACATTGTAACACCAAAAACGCTTGAGAACTACTTACCTAAGTTGAGTGGTACCTAACTACCTACATTGCCTAATATTTTGTTATCAATGACTAAGTCACGAATCAATACATATAGAAGTAATCTTTGGAAAGCCCGTACCTCTTCAAATAATCTTCTGACGCATTCACTTAGACATCGGCTCTATTAATAACTTTCAATTAGTTAAAGGACTTATATAAAGGCTACAAATCAAGCTAGACTTTTCCAGTATATCCTGACCTTTCTATGTACCGAAAACCTAAGCAATCCAAGGTCAAATTGCGATGGTTAAGTGTATGTTACAATGCCGTCGTGTGCCATTGTTGACTGGCCGAAATAACAAGCTCGACTGGTATTGTTTTAATAAACACCTTTATTACGTAATACATAAGGGTAATATTACCCTTTCCTAATTAATTAGCTAGGGTTTATGATAATAAAATGATTTCTATACGTTACCTCACTCAAGGTTTTCTTTTATTCGGGTTTTGTTATAGAAATAGGAGATAAAATAGGGAGAATGGGATGGCGATGTACAATTCAAAGGTACATAATGTATGGTTTTCTTCCTTTTGTATACAAGGATTCTTAAGGCATTTGGGAAATTCGATTTGAAAATAACTACTTTTCGTTGGTAACTACGTTAAATTATTAGCAATTTCCCCAGACCCAGGTTGGGTAAAGGCCTCCTGATGAAGACATATCGTCGTGGATAGTGCAAATCCGCGGAACTAGCATTAGATAATTCAAATCGCGTATGTGACAACTGTAACTAATTCAAGTTTTGGCGGAAAAATCGCGCAAAATCTTAATTGGCTGCCCCCACCTTGACATGAGAACATTTCGATTCATTTTTAATATGTAAAAATGAGTATATTCATTGAATTAATAAAGTTATTAAGTTTAATAAACCTTCCACTATAAAACTGGATCTATTGCAGATACGCGTCCTTTACGTATGGTAGATTCGCAATTCGCAGATTTGCACTATCACCAACAATGTGCTATGTAGATATGACTAGAACCATATTTTTAGTTTTTGTAACTATGGATTTGTAATCTACTTAAGTATCTAGCTATTTAAATTCACATCCAAAAATGTTCCAGAATGGTGCAGCTATAAATGTGGTGGAGACTGGTCATGCGAGTGGGAACCTCTCTCTGGCCCACTACTTGAAGTCCATCGTCCTGATGCCCAACTCCTTACGCGTGGTATGCCTGACCAACCTGTTCTGCTGGATGGCCCATGTCTGCTACTCGCTCTACTTCACTGACTTCGTCGGAGAAGCTGTCTTCGGAGGAAATCCTGCGGTTAGTAACCATAAATTTAATTATTTACTCGCCTATCCCTACTAATAATATAAACATCGGCGGTATTTCCGAACCGATACGACCTTCAAAACTTCAAGAAAAGACCGTACTCCTTTTTAAAAGCTGGCAACGCACCTGTGACTCCTCTGGTGTTGCGGGTGTCCATGGGCGGTGCTGATCGCTTACCATCAGGTGATCCGTCTGCTCGTTTCCCTCCTATTCCATAAAAAAACAATGAATATTTGTGAACGAGTGTGTTTGTCTGCATTGAACAGAATCTTTTTTTAAGGGGAGAAAATCATCGTATGATTTGATTAATGATAAATCATTGAACAGAAGGTACTAGGTTGATTTGAAGAAGTCACTCAAGTCACCATTAGAAAGCTTAGGTACTTATTGGGTTAAGTATAGACTACAAAGGAGCCGCGGATGGCCTAACGGGTTGCCGGGACTCCGGCTCGAAGAGCAGGATTAGGAACGGGGTGGTTTTTAGTCAGTAAGAGTCTGACACTCCCTCTCGCCTAACCCAAGGCGGCAGAAGTCATTGGCTGATTTTCTCACTTAAATAAAGTATAGACTACCAATGCTAAACATAGCTACTTCGTCATTTAAAATACGTCTATAGGTATGATGAGTTTTAATGTCCCGAGTTATAGGACTCCAAGAAATATTTCAAAGTTTAGGTAGGTATCTTTGTTAGGTGTGGTTGTTCATTCATCTCACATTGATAATTTTATTCCAGCCAGGGAAGTGTGTAAAGTTACCAGGTGAACAAGTACTCAGTAAAATGATGATTAATTACTTAACTAGAAGTGTGTCGAAAGAGGTGGGTAATCCCACTTATATATTTTGTTCCATCAAGTACATAATCACTTAGTATTAAAATCAATGACTATCATACATGTGTGGTATCGAAAGGCAATACTTTCCTTTAACAGCTTTAACTATGTGACAAAACAGCATGTGTCTACTCCTTATAGGTTTTTTGGGGATAGCTACGAAATGCAATGAAAAAAGAACTATAGAATAATGTAGGTACAGTCGATTTTCAAATTAAATCGGTTCTGATAGAACACTAGATTTAATATCCAAACACAAATACTTAAAAAAAACATACAATCAAATTGAGAACCTCCTCCTTTTTTGGGAAGTCGTTTAAAAATGATATGTACACTAAACAGTAAGTACGTAAGTAACAAAACGCCTACATAAACGTTTGCGGCAATGGCACAGAAATGGATTTGTCTAATCATTTGCGGCATTAGTTTATAGCGGTGACAATGTTAGGATATTAGAATGCATTAGCTGATGAATTTGCAATCATATATTACAAATATATATTGTTTGTCGGCTCAGTGTTCCTTCCCATTATTTTCTATAATCGTAAAATGATCTATGTAAGCTTCTAAAATTAAAATACTGAGCTAAAGTTAATGAATTTTGACATAAAAGGATGTTTATAAGAAGCACACTGCTAGATTTTTAATAAAACATAATCTGTGTTGATAACAATATAACAGCCTTTATAAAAGCTTATTCTTGAAATCAAAATTAATGGTTCGCCTACCCAAATAACGTTAGCAATAGATATAAAATTATATATTAGTCTATTTACAACATTGCTATGATTAAAATTTCAGGCGCCAGTAGGCAGTATTTCTCGTTCGGAGTATGAAGCTGGAGTACGTTTCGGATGCTGGGGCATGGCGATGTACTCACTCTCCTGTGCTTGCTACTCGACTATCATCGAGCGCCTCATCAAACGACTTGGGTCAGTATTTAACATCTATTTTCCTAAAGTTACCTAAAAGTAATTGTTACTTGGATGAGAAACGGACGTCGTCATATTATATACTTTCCTGTCTCTACATTGCTTATAAAATACACCAAACACCACTTCTAATATCTATATATATATAAAAGAAACTTGTGGTAGTTACACTATTTAGGTATAACTGAAGAACGGCTAAATCGATTTGGATGAAAATTGGTGTAGACGTAGTTTATAACCAGGAGACGGACATAGGATACTTTTTATCTCAGTTTTTTACTTGTTAACGAAAATCACAAACGGCAATGGGGAAAAACGGGATTGCGCATACGAAATTGCGGGGAGAAGTTAGTATTAGATATAATAACTATATACCTATCTAGTCTCTAATTAGGTTCTGCCTAATGGAGAAATATAATTTATATATATAGAGGCTAATGAACTACCAATCCTTTTAGTAGATAGCCACTTAAGATATTCGTTTTGTATTACATAATTTAAACACAAAAACAATGAATCAATTTACACATTTTTGCGGATGTTACACCACATTCGTATCAAGTGATCGTTCATACAGTCAAGTCGTTATCTATAGCGTCTGGCCTTCAACTTGACAGCTCACAAGTAAACACTATCTCAGTGTAATGAGATAAAGGAATCCTTGACTTTGCACTATTCTTCCTGGCTGACAGTTTGCCGGCTTCGTTCAGATTTAAAAATCAATAACGTTACAAGCTTAGCTCGTCTGGACGTCGTCCGGGTCGGTTTACATGGCCGCTCTATGATTTTGTAAGGTTTGGATTAGTATGAAGGATTAGAAGAACACAGAAAGAAAGAAAAAATGCTTAAATTAAAATACAAGAGTACTAGATCAATTAGAAGAACACAGAAATTCGATAGAATGCCTAAATCAAAAGACAGCAGTAAAGGATCAAACGAGTACCGACCTATAATAAAATACTATTAAAACTAGTGTTGTTACGCCATAAATCTTAAACAAAATCATAGCCCATTAATCATACCCCGTTACTATACAATTTGATAACCAACGAGTGTAAAATAGGAAACAAAATTATTAATAAATGTTCATTATTAACGTTTAAATAATATCTAGACTTCTCACAACTCAATATACCTAAATTGTCTATCAAAAACCATTTACGTTAAAGTTTTGCATTTAAAATTGAATTTATCGACAAATGGTGTGAAGAAATCGGGAACATTTTAGTTTGAATCGTGCAAGTTATATCTTGGAATTATTTATCGAGTAAATATTTTATAAAGAGCATTTTTATACTCTATGGAAGTTATCTTATATCAGGACGTAGACAGTATTACTTACGTATATCATTATTTGGTAGGCAATTCAAAGATATCAAACAAGTTGAATACTATCCGCATCAGCAGCTATAGCCAAATGCCATTTAGCGCTGGTCTACATGTAGAATAGAAAACCAAATTATATGGAATTGACGTAAATTTTGACACTTGTCAGTGTTATCCCCTTACATTTAGTTTTCAACTCTCTCGGTAGACAAGCGCTAAAGTGGCGTTTGCCTAAGGGCACAGGATGTACAGCCATAATTATAACAATATTCTTTGTAACTATCAGCAGCCAGCGGCAGTCACCTGCCGGAGTATGGAGCCTCTCTACATAAAATAAAAGAATTTGTCGTAGTCTCAGTACCTTGTCGATTAATATTTAATAAGTTCAGATTTTACAGAGAGCACTGCTGTTCGACCTCTGTCTATATATCACTCCTAAACCATTTCCTAAGAGTTACTTAGCGTGACGGAACACTTAAAATATCCTCTTGCTAGATTGTTAAGTGCCATTTAACTATAAGCCGGTGAAAATCAAAATGGCGTTTAGTGTCACGTTTCTTAGCTTAGTGTTTCCTTAAAGTTTATGTGAGGTGAAAACGGGCATTAGTCCATTAGTAGTTTGAAACGACACCTTTGGAAAGAGTAGTGGTGCTTGATGAGGTGAGTATGTGTAGTCTGTTTTTGTTAAATGTAGACTGTCTTTACCATAAGAGCACTCAGAGCCTGTGCCCAGGGCCCCCATTCTCAGGGCGCGCTGAAGGACCGACAATTTCTACGACGGACACACATCGCTACACGTTGCGCGGTAATTGGATGATCCGCAACGTCCAGCGGATTCCTGCACGGAATCGGAAATCTTTGTGTGATCCACAAATTGTTGTTTCTGGTCTGGGTCTCATGTGTATGTGAACTTGTATGTTTGTAGATGCACCAACGATAAACAAGAAAATCCTAGTGTGGGGGCAGGTAAAAAAAAGAAAAATATTCCAAAAGGGTCCTAAATTATTGTATGCCCAAAAGCACCAACGTAGTCTAAGCCGGCCCTGTGTGTGTCTACTCTATACTCACTTCAACGGAACATTTCTTAGAGTAATTAATAAAAAAATCCGTAAATGATCACACAAGTTTTAAGTGTCAGAGAGCCATTCTTCGACGCGAGTGGCCGTCGAGCCGACGTGTCAGTGAGGTTACCGGCGGCCCAATTACCCACCTCCCCAATCTCCCAAATCCCCGAATAATCCTTAAAATCCTAATCTCTAAAAGACTGGTAACGCACTTGTAACGCCTCTGGTGTTTCAGGTGTCCATGGGCGACGTCAATTGCTTACCATGAGGTGACGCGTCTGTTCGTTTACCGACTTATAGCATAAAAAAACAATAACGTCACACCCACTTTTATCCAAATAGCCGAAACCGAAACGAGACAGATTAATTACGGAGCTAGTTTGCGAATCTGCATGTGCGTTCATTAATCTACTTCAGCATTCATGTGTTTATTAGCCACAGACTAATTAGCGATCCCAACCAATTTATTAATGTTCTCAGTGTTCAGAGTCTAACCAATATGGTTTTATAGCTTTTATTACCTATGCGAAATGAAGATGGTTGTTTCATTTTGGTTATAACGTGGGATGATCTTATGATTATTGGGAAATGTAAAATATTTTATTAGATACTAGCTACTCCTACACGGTTTGACCAGCTCTGCTCGGTTCCTATTTATTGTAGCGTGATATTTATAGCCTGCAGCCTTCCTTGATCATATATCAAGACTATTTAATACAAACAGTATTATTTAATTGAGACTGGTCTCAGGGCCAGAAATTAACGCATACAAACAAATAAATAAACGAATTTTTAAGATTCATATAAAACTAACTTCTGCCCGCGACTCCGTACGCGCAATCCTGTTTTCTTGCGTTCCCGTAGGCTTTTCAGGATTTTTTCTGTCTTTAGAACCTTCTCTATATAATAACAAATACAACGAAAAAAGAATTAGTGAAAATCGGTGCAGCCATTCACGCGTGATGCCATGACCAAGGGAAAAAGAGATTCATTTTTATGTATATACTTAGATGACTAAAATGCCACAGCATGACACCATATTTTATATTACAAATGTACTGGAAGTAATCAATTCTTTCATATACATTTCAGAGCAAAACGCGTGTATGTGGGTGGTCTCTGCACTTACAGCTGCGGTATGATGGCGCTGTGTCTCATCAGGGCGAAGGCCGCAGTGTTGCTGTGCAGCTGGACCGCTGGAGTCATGTACTCCACGCTCTTCACCATGCCTTATCTTCTGGTCGCTCATTATCACGCTACAGGCATGGTAAGACTTAGTATCCTACACATTATCAAGTATCGGTGATATATTATCACCTGGTACTGTTAGACTATGAGCCTCATCTACTTACTTACAAGGGTTCACTTGGCATGCAGGTTGCATTGTTTCTGATCTCTGTATGACGAGCAAGGATGGTGTCAATTCTTTTGTTGCCACATGGTTTATGGGATCCTGATTATAGTCACTCTACCATCCCTGAGTAGGATGTCTGCTGTTGTAGCTTTCAGAAGGTGAATTGTGAATATATTATAACATAACATCACGCCTTTTTATCCCCGAACACGTACACCGTGTGTAACATCTACTTTTCACTATTTATATACCGCCTATTAACATATACCGTACACAATAGCAGACTAAGTGCTACTACTAAGATTTATTAAAACAATCCAGTAATACTTTGCCCGACCCGAGAATCGAACCCGAGAGACCTTGCCCGGCCAATCGTACTTGCAACCACTGTGCCAACGAGACAGTCAATATAAAAACATATAATTCTCTTTCAAGCCAATCAGTAGAAGTTAAAATTTGTTGTTGTCAACACTAATTTGTAATGTATCATAAAGCAAATTCTTGTGTTGTACGAAATTACTAAAAAAAATATATAATAAGAATTTCATAGAAAATCTACATTCAAGGATTATGTACAGCTTCCTAATTACCTTCACTGTAAGAGTCAGTTTTCAATTAACTTCAATTCATTATGTACAAAACAGCTTGTTTTACTAATAAATAAAGCAAATTTACGTCAAAATCTTATGAAAGTAAATGTTTAGAATAAAGTACTTTAACATGCGACACTGGTTATTTTAGCTTTAACTTGGAACCCGCAATTAATATTTCAACGTATCCATCCTTTGATGTCCCCTTTGAGCCACTTCAAAGAACGTGTGCCTTGTAATTGATTAAATGATTGCTAATTGTTGCAGTTAAGAATGATCAAGCATCAAAAATTCAGTTTAAAATGATACTGAATCTGTTTCCATGCTCACATCACGCTATAAACTGTTTCTTGATGTGAAAAGGTTTTTTTAACTTTTTTTATTTCCATTCATTTGTATTGTAACTTTATGAGACATAGTTAATGAATTATTATGTTTTCGGCTTACTTCTGTAATAATTTGACGAGGAACTCGACTAGTTTTAAGCCACTTCCATTCATATTTGTAGCAAAAAAAGACAGTATCCCTATGACATCTTGTAGTTTTTAGTCAGTAAGAGCTTGACACACATTCTAACTTATCACACAACTATGAAGGTAGAAGTCATTCAATGATCCCCCCTTTACAAACCAATAATATAATATTTATTTAAAATCTGTGCATTTCCTAGTGGGACAGCGGTGGCGGTGGTTGTGGAGAAGAGCGAGGCATCGGCACAGATGTAGCTGTGATCAGCAGCTGCGTGTTTGTGGCACAACTCCTGGTTTCCTTCATCATGGGTTTCGCAGTCAAAGCCATGGGATCCACTGCAGCAGTGGTAGCAGTTGCTGCCACATTGGCTGCAGCGGCTGCCGTCACTGCCACGAAGATAACTTACTTGGATCTGTAAAATAGTTATATGATTGTTATGTTTAGCGAGAATTTTTGTTTATCTAGTCTAGTCCTAGTAAATAATGGAGTTTTGTAAGTTCCTGGTCAAAACTTGTTTGCCAATAATGTATCGTTCATTTAGTAATAGTCTATTGAACATCATCAATAAACCTGTTGTACCCTGTTGGATGATAAAAGAATAGATAGGTACATAATTATGCCGTGCAAACAGAATAATGTTTCTTAAAATTCTAACGCCATAAAAATAACTTTCTCAAGTTTCTAATGTAAACGAAGCCATTTTTGGAAAGGCTCTTTGTAATCGACCTTATCCTATCTGATCGATAAACTAGACAAATTTGAATATCGCCTGTTGAATCTCATTTTTATTAGAAATTCTTTAAGTCTTGTTACCTAAAGATGATAGCGGCAAAAAGCAAACTTAAGTTTTTGATCCTTTATAAATACTTGAGTTAGGATTCAAGTGTATTTAAATAAGCCTAAGTTCTAAAGTAAGAGCTAAAAATATGTCTTGCTGCCAAAGGATATTAGACTTTGTGGGTTTAAGGTAAAGTTGACTAAGAAAATGATTATTTAATTAGTATAAGTGGTTAATATATCTAGTCATGTATGTTTTAAAATGGATAAAAGATATGTAGGTGTAATTGAATTGTGTATACAGTACCTAGATTAAGATAATTTAAGGGTATTTTTCACTACCACTCTCATAGTCTTCTTTTATTTGACAATTAATTTTACGACCATTGTTTAATAGGGAATACGTCTTGTGTAAGTTAATACGTGTTAATTGCTATATGTCGCATTTAAATAACTTTCAATTAAGTTTTCCCGTTTTTGTCATATTTATTTTTGTTTTCGACCTACTTTTATATTTTTCATTGTCAAAAAATATCGACATTGCATGGTCTATAAAGTTTCAATTGCATACAGTAGGAATCTACCCTATGTGGTCTGTAGAGCACTGCGAAAATTAAATATTACCAACATCCTATATTTTTATACTTTTAAATTTAAAGATAACAAAGCATTTTGATTCTAAACTGGGTGTCTTTAACGCTCGTGTGAATAGGTTACTTATGGGCAGACGTGCATAGGCCCAATCATCGCTTACCACCAGGTGAGGTAGTGGTCAAACGTCGGCCCATCAAATCAAATATAATAAAAAAAGTCTGTGTATATTTATTACGTATCTATCTAATGCTCACCATATTATTATTAACTGTCATATTACATAGTATAATTATGCTTGTTGATTGCATAAATTGTAAGAGGTTTTGAAAAATACCTGCTATAAATGTTAAGATTAAGACCCCATATAACCCCAGATCTCGATGTTTGTGATAGTATTCAATGTTGTATAATACCAAAGTATATCGACTGTTAATAAATCATTTAACTGATTACTCATTCTTTTAACTTACTTTTATGTAGAGGTACACTTTAACAGGAGGTCGTGGTGACCCTGAGGTTTAAGACGCCCTCTTTTCATGCATGAGGATGCGGGTTTAAAACCTATCAACGGCAAGTACTAATGTGACTTTTTCCGAGTTATATGTACTTTGTAAGATTATCTAGACACCACTGACAAACGGTGAAGGAAAACATCGTGAGGAAACCTGGACTTATAATTCCTAATTAGAAGTTTGACATTGCCATCCCGCATTGACCACGTGTGGTGATTAATGGTCAAAACTTCTCTGTGTGAGAAGAGTCGTTTGGTCAGCAATGACCACTGATAGACTGTTGATGTGAAACATTCAGTACTTGTGTCTATTAAACCAAAGAGCCAATGACGACTACAAGTTCAATTAAAATACCTTAATAGCTCCTAATGGATTTAAAATGGGTAAGCACTTAATCTGAATATAATGAATGGGGTATTTTAAATAGTTTCTGAGCACTGAATTATTTATTGCTCTCGTTCACAAAGGAATACAATAGGATAGAATTAACACTGAATTTTATTCATGTATATGCTAATTTAAGATTGAATATTCTGAACAAAAGATCTAAACAGTTGTAAAGTGAATTTGTCGGTATTAATTTGAGGATCCGGTGGATTATTTTACAACCTCCCATTATTAGCTGTTCATTGATATGCAAATGGCCTGTTTAATATCATATTTACTTACTTTTATGTTTTTGTTTTTTTTTCATTGTTACAGTAACAAGTAAGTATTAAAGATTTTGAGAAACAGAAGTTTGGGATCTATGTACTTACATACTCAGTATAATATAACATGATGCTTGTTATTTCTTAAAAATGTCGGATAGAAAGTATACTAAACAAACAATATCCATCAATAACCATCCAACATGGGGTTCTTCAAGAGGGGTGTGAATAGGTTTCTTAACGGTCGGCAAGACGCATATAATGCCCCAAGTGTTGCAAGCGTACATAGGCCACGGTAACCGCTTACCATCAGGTGGGCCGTGTGCTTTTTTGCCACCGTCGTGGTATAAAAAAAAATCCTCAATTTAACCAATACATAACGTTTTAAGAGAAATAAGCCCTATTTTCGTTACTGAACAAATATGTATAGCAAAATATAAAAACCACTTATCATCACTACTTACCTACCATACGATTCGTCACAAATTATACTCACTAAGAAAACCAACATGAATTTGTACAATGGAAACGCTCTAGCAATTAATATACCGTTCAATCAGGGCGGTCATTATGACCCTTTGAAGAGAGCTGGGGACTTCAAGTCACGGACATTGTCGAAGGAGGTTCGCCACCAACAATGGGTCTCATCAAAAACCTCTGTCTCAAATTGTCCTACACAAAAGCTATTGACCGATCAAGTGGAAGACTGGAGACGATTTTCTTTGAGAATTATTACAGAATCGCATATATGGCAGGTAAATTATTATACCCTTATATTCTTAGAAAAAAATTTGAAGATTTGCGGTGGTAAAATTGATGTTAGAAGTCTGGTCTATGTACAATTATCAATTTAGTAGGTACATATGACTTTTACAACGAATAGGTATAACCCATGGTAAAACCGTCGCGGAGAACCTAACGGGTAATCGGGGCTCCGGCTCCACGTGCAGGAGAAGGAACGGGGTGGTTTTTAGTCAGTAAGAGTCTGACACTCCCTTCCGCCTCACCCAGGCGGGAGCAGTCATTCGATGATATTCCCCCCTTAAAAAAAAACCCCATGGTAAAACCAATGATGTTATTTTGTAAACCAAATTTATTTTATTTTATTTAAGTTTCATACAATTGCATAAGGAAGACTTAATGCTAACAGCATTCTCTGCCAGTCATCCTTTGGGTAGTGATTTTGTTTTCATATTCTTTATTACTATCAAGACAAGGTTTGATTTAGAAAAAGAAAATTCTATCTCAGACAGAAAGATTCTCGTTCTCTCATATTCGATAGAAGTGAAGCCGCCTTTAGCTTGTAAACAATAAATTATAATAACGTAAACGATAACCTAACGAGCTTTACGCCTGTTAAATATTAATAAATTGCGCATTTCACGAGTTACAACAAGCATCTGTTCGCATTAATCAACAATTTCACACTTGAGTCTGTCCAATTCATCTTAATGTTGACTCTACAAACTAGTCTAGGACCTGGGAGAGCAACTTCACTTAGTTGAAAGTTGTCACAGAGACTTCATCATGGATGTACTGGTGATACTAGATATACCTACTGCACTTTCCGACTGTACGACGACAACTGACGACTGTAGTTCTCATTTTTTCTGCAGATGAAGTTCATGAAGCTACCGTAGCTTTGGCTGTACGTTTTAGTCAGGATTAGTCTGGCGCTCCCTTTCACCTCACCTAGGGCGGGAGGACTCAATGGATGATTTTAGAATCATTGCATTTCCTTCATGTAATAAAATTAAATCTCTTCATATTATTGCGTAGACAATGTACGACAACACACAGGAATATCTAGGGTAACCTTACATCCGTGTTCCAACTGTTTCCAACAATTTACTTGAGCCAATGTAATTGCAAAGTTTTCCTCAGGTATGTCTACTGCAGATGACAATATAGGCTACCTGGTGTACAGTAACACTGTGAAGCTGATGATAGTACTGCTCGTATTCGGAGTGGTATGGTACGGGTTCATGGAAACAACGAGTTTCGATGAATTCGCTGGGAACCTCAATGTGTCCCTCTTACAATTTATCACGTTTTATAGATACAGGAATATGGTAAGTACGTTTCATCAAGGTCTTTTATTCCCGAAAGGGTATGGCTGAGTCTTGAGTCACGGCGCATCGCGTAAGCAGAAACAAATACTCAACATGTTTGAACTAGTTTGAACTTGCTGGAAGTGCGAACAGGAGCGGACACGATCCCGGCGAGTATTTGTTTCGTGCCCGGCGGATTTTTCTTTCGCGATGCGCCGTGACTCAGAACCTGTGAAGCACATTATTATAGATATGTAATTTCAGCAATAATAGACAAAACTAAACATTTTGTAACTAAAATATAAACTGCTGTGTCGATGAAAATTGGCGACCGGTCGATGGCTGGAACTCATTTTATCTACTAATACTTTTTTATCAAATCGAATGTTTTAGTTGGCACACGAAAAGTTTTACAAGGAACTGGCCAGTTCTATGGAATCCCCGTACTTCGATATATCAACGGAGCAAAGGAAAAAATTGGTGGAATTTTGGAGCCGTACGAACGTGAAGTATCTAAAATTACTTATGGGTTTGGGAAACTGCACTCTTGTGGCTTGGTAGGTGGCATTTGATTTCATGTAGCCTTCTTTTAATTAGAAATCAACCTACATTCAGTTGAACGTTACAAATCCATTTGTGTTACTAGATGTACGGTGCATACACTTGCAGAGATGTTGTTGAGGTCGGAGCGCGAAGAGAAAAGATTCACTTAGTTAGATTTAGAACGTTTAATTGTGTATACAATAAAACTGTTGACGATTCCTTTCTCTAATGTTGGTTACCGCGTAACAGTAATTGCACTCACTGATTTATTATGTTGTATCGGAATTTATAGAAACAAAATATGTACGTCAGTCATTTTAGGACTGTACACTAGAACTATTCTAATCTAATACGTCATTCTTACACGATACAATTTTAAAGTTTCTTTAGAACGTTTTAGTTCCAATTTTAAATACTAACTATTGAGAACCTATGGCTTGCTCACACGAACTATTCGAGTATTCGGTGAGCGAGGTCACTATCAAGCACACTGCTTATGAATATGAGTCCTGTTGTGACTCGAAACTAGTAGAGCTTTTTTCGTATAGCTTTAATGAGTAAACCAATTAATTTCTGTTTTATGAAAATGTATACTGACATTAATAACAAAAAGTTTATGCTGCTATTAAAACTTCTTTGTATTTTAGGTTCATCTTCCCACTACTAGATGACATCGAATACAACCTTATAGTGGGACTTTACTTACCATTCTTTTACAAGTCACCTTCTATCTATCCACTGGCATACATGCTATCAGTGATATTCTTCTTCTATATCTCTCACTTCGTGATGGTGACTGACCTGAAGATGCAGACACATCTCATACACCTTCTGTGTCAGTTTTCAGTATTGGCTGACTGCTTTGAGAATATGATCCCTGATTGTGTGACAGGTTTTGAAGGTATGTTGGCAAAATAAACGAATACCCGATCTTAGCATAAATCCCAGTGCCTCTAGCCAAACGCCACTTTAGCGCTTGTCTACAGAGAGAGTAGAAAACTAAATGTATGAGGATGACACTGAGAAGTGTCAAAATTTACGTCAATCCTATATAGAGGTACATGTAGACAAACGCTAAATGTCATTCGGCTACAGCTGCAGGATCGAATCATGTTTTTAACACAAACTTCATACTAGTAATGTCAAAACTCGATATAAATTCAAACGAAATTCGTAATTAATTTCCACATTTCCACTATGAATAATTATTATAGCATAGAATTATCCCCTTTATTTCCTGCAGGGTTAAGCTGATTACCTATATATTATTTATAGATGATGTAATACCCACTCTAACTTTACACAAGTTTTGTTATTAGGCTTATGTAAAGCGTAACGGTTCAAAAGTACCCTTATGTGATCCCGTTGAAGTCAAAGTCAAAGCATTTGTTTCAATTAAACCATAATTTGGTACTTTTGAAACGTCAACAAATACAAAATAAATAATATGTAGTTTTTCAGTCAGTCCGTCAGTGAGTGAATACTTTAACAAATTTTAACAATACAAAATTTAGTAAAACAATTACGTGAAATGTGTACGTGTCGACCTGTTTGTTATATGTTTAATATGACCTATATTAAAGCTTTCAATATTTCAGGAGTACCGAGAAATCATTTAATGTATAACAATCATTTTGCTGCAAAATACACTGAGAGATTAGGCAACTTAGTGAAACAACATAAGGCACTGCTTGGGTAAGTACAAAATATCTATACAAATTAATAAAATTGGACTGTCACATAACAGAGTAACATTTTTACAATAGGGTAGTTTCCTAAATTTTATTTTAATGTCCGTCTGGTACATTAATTTAAAACTTTAGACACGTATTTCTTCTTTTCTTACAAAATTAAATACTTTCGACGCTATATTCATTTGAAATATCGTATGACGTCACAGCGTGACACATTTTGTAGCACTTTATGACGTAACAACCTTCCACTCCTAAACTTAACACCATTTTATCTAAGTATTGCAACTTAATACGAGAAAATACAAACATACTTGTCTAATATTTTTTTATTATGTAACTGACGGACTAATTAGATTTTTAAAGTTGATACCCTGGAAACTACCCAATTTTTGTCTGTCTGCTTGTTTGTTTATACTGAGTCATCTCAGGAATGGTTGGACCGATTTTGACGGGACTTTTATTGGCAAGTAGCTAATGTAATAAGGAACGAAGTAGTTAATAAAGAACGTAGATTAAACACAAAAACAAGAACAAAAAAGCATTTACATATTTATTTCAGAAATAAAAATATTTGTCTGTAGTAGACTTACTTCAAACGTCGCTAGATGGCAGTATGCGACTGTCTCACGCGGAATGGTAATTGAAAGAAATAGTGATATGATTCTATATATTACAGAACAATAACTAAGGAAATATTACCAAAGCCATTGTCACGTTTCCTTTCAATATTGGCGAACGTAAATCGCTTTATTATATTATTATGTATTGGCAATCTAAGCCACGGTACAGAATAGACATAATATAATGATTCTCCTTAAATCTAGGATTGTACTGAATAATGCTTGAGTCACACTATACTAGGTAAATTGTTTACAACGCTGTAATAACCGCTTAGCAAAATATCATGTTATTTTTATGAGATAAGTAGGTAAACGAGCAGACGGATCACTTTATAATAAGCAATCGGCGTCGCCCATGGACACCTGGAACACAAGAGGTGTTACAAGTGCGCTACCGACCTTTTGGGGATAAGAAATCACAACGACGACACACAACGCAAGCGTTGATTCACGTTGGTTTTCTGTGAAGCCGTGGTATCACTCTGGTCGAACCCGTTCATTCCTGCCGAAGAATAGCCTCCTACACTTGTGACAATAAATAATTTCCATCAGCCACCGTTTAGACTCATCATAAATCAGTTCGATAGTACCTAACATTAATATTCTATCGTCATCTAATCTATATTATTGGCAAGTTTCATGACGATACAACTATTTGAAGTATGTGTGATTCAGATTCTTAGATTTAATTAACTTAATTAGGTTGAATATCGCTTGACTACGTCATATATTTTAGTAGAAACAAAGCAGCTGTTGTTATGAATTGAATGTCCCATGGGAGGATCTGTAAATATCCCAGAGGTTATTATGTTTTTCGGCGTACTCACGTAATTATTTGTCGAATAGCTCGACTAGTTTCAAGCCACGCTAGAGGCTCATATTCATGTGCAGCGACCCTTGAAACTAGTCGTGTTCCTGGGCCAATAATTACGTAAGCAGAAAAACATAATAATTAATTTAGTATGTCACGAAAGTTATAATATCACAAAGGTTACCCGCGAGAGTGTGGCTATGGGGTTAGGGTAAAGCAGATCACGTAATACAATACATTTATATCCTCTGTCTACGTGACATGACCAGGGACATAAAAAATATAATATTTTTGCCCCACGCGTTTCCATTGTTCCAACATTTCCTTAATGAGGTGTAATTTTTACTCTTTTATTGTTTTAAATGAATTTTTATGCTACGCTTGGATGATTTATGTTAAAAAAAAGGTCGCTGTCAAAAATTGCGCTAGACAGGTCAAAGGCCTTAGTACGAGTTTTTTTACGCTTAAAGTAATCGTTACGATTGGTTGCTTCATTGGTGCCGGCCAATCAGAGTGGCGAACGCATACTCGTTTCGAATACTTTGAACGTAAATCAAACTAAGGCCTCATATAGAAAGATTTGTCAGGTAAGGATTTGTTTGCATAGCAGGACTTAAAGGAAATTAGGAAAATTAAACGTAAAATATCAAATGGAAATTAAACATTACTTTTCCGGGATTTTATTTGATGGTTAGTGATGACTAACGAGCTTTTGGATAGCGTTATTGAGTTTTTATTTAAAAATTCCAAAGTGAAGCTTGAGTTTAATATAGTGTTTAGTATATCTATCAATATGTATCTTTTTCAATGTATATTGTTTAGATTGTAACGTATTGTTTTATGTGTGTATCTATACATATTACATGGTCCCATAACTTTCACCTTTTTATGGAAAGCAATCAACACCGAGCATGGACTTTGGTCACCCATCAAAAATCGGAAGACATTCGATACCGATTATTAAAGGTATAATTCCCAAACTATTTCGCCATAATCCCCAAATTTGGCGGGTGACTGAAGGATTACAGTTAATTTAGAGGCAGATAAATGTCTTTCCTTTTTTATGGGGCAAGCCGGTAAACGAGCAGACAGATCACCTGATGGTAAGCAATCGGCGTCGCCCGTGGACACCCGGAACACAAGAGGCGTTACAATTACACTACCGGCCTTTTGGGGATTAGGTATATTTTAGGAAACGCAAGCGTTGTTTCACGTCGGTTTTCTGTGAGGCCGTGGTATCACTTCAATCGAGCCGGCCCACATGGCTCTCCCATACTTAGTTAGGCTTACTGGCTATTTAACAGTTTTAAGCTATAATTGAGTCACAATGTCTGTGTTTCGTGATAAAAGAAGTTAATGTCCATATTATCCATTGAAGTATGTTGTATGTGTAGTCACGCGATGAATCTCCGCGACACACTAAGTGGGCCATTGTTGGGACAGCTGGCAGCCAGTGGCGTGCTCATTTGCTTCATCGGATATCAGGCCACTGCGGTGAGTATACATTATGAACCTTTATGAGTATTTTTGTAATACCTTCTCTTGATATTTGCTACAAAGTTCTAGGGTTCAAGACTGGGGAAGTATTTTCAAATAGGTATTAACCTAAAGCTTATTAGTGTTTTCATAACTTTTTGGTCTTCAGATGACCTTGACTAGTGACGGATTGATTATATTATTGAAATTTTAAATATAAATACCTAACTATTTTTTATATATGTACCTCTATAATATCATAATAAAATCAACATCATACATTTTACTAAGAACATAGCATTGAACTCTATAATATAACATTATTTTATTCGTTTAAGAATAATAAAATATTCAGAAATAAAAATTAATAAATATACTTATAATCCCTTTACAAATTCTTCAAGTTATGAAAATTTCTTTCAATGCCTACTTAACTTGGCTCGAGGTTTAATGCCCTAGAGAGCTAAGAAATTCGAGGCTAATATTCTGAACTTGAGGCGAGCCTAAACTTCACACTAGTCGTCAACCAACAGAATCAACACGTGGTCCAGTGCCTTTAACCAAATGCCATTAAACGCTTGTCTACTTTTATAGTAGAAAACTAAATGTATGGGGATGACACTGGCAAGTGTTAAAATTTACGTCAATCCCATATAATTTAGTTTCATACTCTACAAGTAGACAAGCGCTTAATGGCACTTGGCTACAGCTGCTGTAGTGTATTATCTAAGTATTACTTAATTAGAACATTTTTTGATACCTAAGTCAGGTTTAACCTGTGAACTATCGGATCGCAGATCTACGCAAGACACAATAGGTTTTCTATTGTGTCTCATATATCGACAGACAAGATGTTAAGTTAGTATTTATGTACGTCGCGGAGAACCTATGTAACGGGTAACTGGGGCTCCGGCTCGACGTGTAGAAGAAGGAACGGGGTGGTTTTTAGTCAGTAAGAGTCTGACACTCCCTCTCACCTCACCCAGGCGGGAGGAGACATTCGATGATTTTCCCCCCTTAAAAAAAAGTATTTATGTACAAACCTACTAACTTAGTGGAGATAATATATGTAATTATGTGTGTAACTGGTAAAGTATGTTACGTATAAAAATATTATAAGAACATAACGGGTTGCTGGGGCTCCGGCTCGAGGAAGGAGTAGGAACGGGGTGGCTTTTAGTCAGCAAGAGTCTGACACTTCCTCTCGCCTTACTATAGGGCTTGTACACTAAACTGCGATGCGATTCGATATGAATTCGCAACGCAAAAAATTACTTACGATGCGAATTGCTGCGATGCGATTTGGTGCGACAAGGCATGTCCCAGGGTGACCATTCCTTCGACGACCGTCAATCGTACTAAACGTATTTTAAATTGAAAACTAGGTCGTGACATGGATCGTAAAAAGAAATGTGCACTTCTGTTATTGCTTAGGACTTAAAGGAAAAAGAAACAAAGAAGATTTTGGGAACATAAGATTGTGTTTGATGCGCAATGCGAATCAATTTGCAAGTTCTTGCAATGCGCGCATCGCAGTTTTGTGTACGAGCCCTAAGGCGGGAGAAGTCATTAGATAATTTTCTTTGATCAAAAAAAAACTATATTATTTTCGGAGGTTTACACATATTACAGACCTACCTATTTGAGATTAGTGTAACTTGTTGATGGTCACATTTAGGTATTACCTATTAATTATACTATCGCAACGGCATTGTTTGAAATTCAAAGTCGTTAATCCAATGCACTATGCTATTGAGGCAGTCATAGGAATTTATAATTTATTCTTACCATAAATTATGTTTAAATTAATTTGCAGACCATAGGACAAAGCGTGGTAGCATGTATGACGAGTTTCTTATTCCTGGCGTACAATCTGTTCGACTTCTACATGATATGTCGCTGGTGTCAAGAAATTACTAACCAGGTACATTCTCTTGTAATCATAATAGCACCCCCAGCACTAACGTATTATGAAAATGACAATAGCCTTAAGCATTATTGGGTACTTTTCCTTAAACAAAAAAAATATATTTCGACTGTTTAATATCTACAATAAAAAATATTAAAAAACAATCACACTTTCGTTAATTGATTTTATGACCAACTTAAATTAAGTATTTTACCAGCAAATTTTTAAGAAATAAGTATGCTGTTTGACGCTAAAAAAACGTGACGTCACAATATACAATCTCGAACAAAATTCGTAGAAAACTATCGTTTTTGACAGTTCGAATTATTGAACTTGACTAGTTGGCAAGTACCCAATTACATGCGGTTTGTAAATGGTGAAAAGTACAGTGGCATTACGTGACGTAATGTGCACCTCAATGTGCATGTGCAGTAGAAATTACTAATTGCACAAAAGAAGCACAAAAGTGAACAACAATGGTACATCTTGTACATCAGTCGAAAACTTAGTAATATGTACAGAAATCCCAATCAAAGGTCCAATCCCCCCGTCCCCCCCAACAACAGGTACCACACTTTAATACGTCTAAACTCTTTTCAGAGTGCTAATGTCGGTGAAGCCATTTACTGCTCAGGGTGGGAGTGCGGAGTCTCCAAGCTGCCCGGAGTGCGGTCTACTATCATGTTCGTGATAGCGAGGGCCAACAAACCTCTCGTCCTCACCGCGGGAGGGATGTACGACCTCTCCCTCACATCTTATACAAGTGTAAGTTGAATTCAACTCTCTTCTAACTGTTTGAAACTTTGGCAATTTGAACCAAGTTGCGCTTCGTAGACTGTGGTTTTCAAAACTTCATTTCATTCGGAAAGAATGTAATTTATTCTCCATTAATGCTTTGAGACAAATTCTTCATTATAATTACTAGAGTATCTTCTGTTACACCTGTAAATATAAAGAATTTGCTTGAAAAATGAACGCTACTATTGAAATTTTTTACTAAAGTTTTTACTCGATTCAATCTGAAAACACATTATTAAAATAGTTATCATAATTAATAGTTCAAGCAAAATTTAATTAGACTTTGAAATTATGTACTTCAAAATATCCGTTTAACGTTTTCATACAATGAGACACAATTAAACAAAAACAAAACACTCTCATGGATATCTTCGCGCATCACAGAAAAAAAAACATTAACAAAAATATAGGCAGAATGTTTTAAAACAAAGAGTTTTCCTTTTACGTGGATTCAGCCGGGGGCACACGGGTGACGTTCGCAAACCCTGTTTATTGTGGCCACCCTTCTAGCCTCAGGCTAAATACTCGGTTCCAGCCTAAATTAATTATATTTACCAAACAACCGGCGCTAGTATTTGTTCGTATTTATTTAGGAGTTAACAGCTTAATTCATAAATAAGTAAGATACGCTGTGATAAGGTATTTCATGTCGAAGCTCGTGTAAGAACATAGGTATTATGTAGGTTCTATAATACCTAAATTATAAAAAAACATGATACTAAATCAAAATTTAGGTTAAATCATTGCATTTTTGTCCACATATTGAACCTATTTTATTTTTTTTCAGCTTGTGAAGACATCCTATAGCGCATTGACAGTGCTACTTCGTTTCCGCCATGACTAAAAAGCAAGAGAGAGATGGAGACATATCTATTTAAAATTATCTAAAAATGATTGCAAAATTATTAAGTTGCTGACAATCTAGGCTTGCTTTTTATGGAATAGGAGGCAAATAAGCAGACGGATTACCTGATGGTAAGCGATCAGCGCCGCCTATGGACACCCGCAACACTACAGGCTAATTAAATTCTAGGCCGATTTATTAAGAACTAACTGCGATACTCAGAGACATCTAATGATTACTTAAACTATTCCTTAGTAACGATTTTGTTCCTGAAACAATTGCTAAAGACTGGGTTAAGTAGCCATTAAATGACTCTGAGTACGGCGGCAGTTAGTAAGTTTTCTGCACATCTCATTGTTAAACAATATTTTTGGTCGCTGCTAATAAATTAAACACAATGCACTACAAAAATGTATTTTTATTTAAAACCTAACTTGAATTGTGTACGTTTATATTAGGTACCTATGATATTGCCGTTCTGCAGTACTGGCCACTTCAAATAAAAATAATTTTTGTTTGTGTAAGAATTCCAATTTCAAATTAATTTTATTTTAATAACTTGGATTTTTTCCAATACTAGTCGTTTGTTTATTGATTAGTGTTACATTTTCATTGCATTTCGATATCGAAATATATTGATATCAATATCATCACAATGTTCATAGTGACCAATATTTTAAGACAATGGATTCGCATTTGAACAATGAGTTCAAATGCACAAAGTATGGCACAAACTTGATCATGCTGCTCATCAAGTGCAATGCCGCTCATGAATGTGAGAACCGGGCGTGGCTTGAAACTAGTCGAGTTTTAAAAACAATTACGTTCATACTTATTAACAAAAACCGCTGTTTTATTTATTATATGTTGAACTATTTTTGTTTGGTTGTCAGACATATTAATTTACTACTAAAAGTTAGACACAGTTCACCGAGTCGGTTATTGCGAATGCTGTTCATGATTATGAGCCCCAAGCACGGCTGGAAACTAGTTGAGCAATATTATTATCAATATTATATTTCTAGAATTAATTCAAACAAATATTTACTGTACCTAATAAAACTGCCTCCGAATAAGTACTAGTATATCGGAAAGGATGGTGACCTATTGAAATTAGTTAGAACTGTAATTAGTAGGACATTATAACGTCTCCTGTCTGCTACATGAGACGTATCAAAGATGTCTTGTTATTAGACACAATAGAACAAACGGATCGTAAAGGAATAATTTATGATTTTTGCAGAGAGACACGCCCAGTGTCTACAACTGCATGGCAACTGTTTCCACTGCACAATGTAAGCTATTTTCAAAATAAGGTATCCTAATTTGTTACTTGCTATTTCCCCTACTTCCATCCTTGGTATCACAGGAATATTAAAAGCAAACTTCTTTTATTACGTCTATGCCTCTCTATGCCCGGTATCATATGAGAACTTGAGCCCAGCAAAGAGATGATAGAAAACTCATACAGAGGAGTCCAACAGTGAACTGTCCTGATTGAAGTTTTGTTACAACTCTTCTTACTTAAAAAATTATATCACACTTCCTCCAGTAATTGGAATGATGACAGGGTATGAAAATTAAAAATCTAATTACTCCGCCAGTTAGGTAAGGAAAAAATATTAGACACGTATAATAAAACAATACTTAGATAAAACGAATCAAAGTTTAGGAGTGGGGGCTAAAACGTCAATTCTACGTAAGTGTACATAGAAGTGACGTCAAGCGACATTTGAAATCAATATATCGTCGAAAGTATTCGCTTCTGTAAGAAAATAAAAAATACGTGTCTAATGATTTAAAATAATCTACCAGAGGGACATTAAAATAAAAATTAGGCATCTACCCTATTCCAGTACCTTCCAGTACCGCATCGTCAGTTTCGGTTTCAATTATTGAAATGTTCAAATTATAACTGTACGAATATTAAATGACAAAACCATTCACCGTATTATAATGAATTATTAAACCGGATATGTAATAGGTATAATATGTATAAGCGAAATCGGTCACCGCTATACTAATAAATATATGTGCAATGAACTAAATAATGAACGTACTATTAATTACAATTTAATGAATTCAAATTATTCACATTCAAAATTAATGTTAAATCCTTACTAATATTATAAATCGGAAAGTGAGTTTGTTTGTTTGATTGTTTGTTCCACTTTCACGCCGTAACTACTAAACCGATTGCTTTGAATTTTTGCAGACGTAAAGTTAGAAGTCTGGATTAAATAATAGGTACTTTTTATCCCGGAAAAATTTGATAATCCCGAGGGAAAACAAAAGTATTGGTATAGATGGCGCTGTATGTATTGGTATATGTCACATAGGCTACTTTTTATCGTTTTGTGACGCGAGCGAAGTCACGGGTAAAAGCTAGTATATTATAAAACTAACTGAAGTCAGCGGTTTCGTCCGCGTTCCTATGGGTCAAAAAGTAGTTATTCCAGGTCACAATCTACACCTGTTCCAAATATCCCGATCCCTTCAACGGTTTGCTGTGATGGAGCAACAGACATACACACTGAACAAACATACAAACTCATTCACATCCTTTCCCATTCATAATATATTAGTAAGATTAAGAATCGTGTAACAATGGAACTAGATTCTTTGACATGGACATAATTAGTGCTAATATTGAAATACGTAATTAAGTCGGGAAGCCATATTGGTTGGGATCAGTAGTCCACATTGGACAATTACTGAGGCAATCCGCACATAATGAGGGTCTTAAGCCATGTGTGGAGGAGAATCTCCCAAAGTAAAGCCTTGGAGCTCGCCGGTCCACTCGAAACCGCCTTCTTCGCATCCGTTTATCGACTTTCTTTCGTCGTAGGTAAGGTCCTTATTTGTTCCTTCTTGAGAGATAAATAAGTAAAAGTAGATATATCTTAAGTCACACATGTACGATAAAAGAAAATCCATCTTTAGGTATAGCGTCGTCTAGCTGTGCCTGCGACTTTGTCCTCGTGGAATATGAATGTTAGAACATAACTTTTATTTTTGTTTCAATTATCCAAAATTAAAGTGGTCAGTTTTACTCCTTAGTACATTAGCTACCTGCCAGTAAAATTGGTGTAGCCATTACAGAGATTAGCTAATACAAACAGACAGGCAGACAGACAGACAAAAATTGTAAAAAATGTTATTTCGGTATTTGTATCGTATGTATATTCCAAACAGACACTCCAATTTAATTGATCTGTATGGATTACAAAAATACCCATTGAAATCTTTTTATTTTTAGATATTTGAAGTGTAACGTGTGACACGAATATAACCTCTAATTCCAATGACCTAAGGTTCTGTTTCCTACACAGGTCTGTCCACGTCAGACGACTATGTTCTCTACACCATGTACAGCAGTTTCATAAGAATAATATCTGCTCTTGTAGTCTGGTTTGAGATTTGGAGTGTGTTGGGGAATACTGATGTAAGCCTGGACCAGATTATATCCAGCGTCAATGTTATCTTTATACATTTGGTCACTTTTTGGAAACTTGTGACTGTGGTAAATTGCTTTATACTATGTCAAGTAATATCATTTATTTACTATCAATCCTTATACATAAACCTACTTTTTATAATTTAAAACTTAAATATTTACACCTTAAAAAAGTTAAAAAAAATGTTCCTTATCGCTATCGTGAGGTAGGGTGCCCAAATGACAGCATTGCCACGTTGAATGACAATGCTCAAACCAGTCTTTCGATCACCTGAACTGTCAACCATCCTCTTTATAATATCTTTGTAAAGAAGATGTGCACTTAAACCTCAAGTTTCCAACCCCAAACGGTTCGAAACTATCAATCATCGTTGCATATATGTATACGCTTAACACAATAATCTACCTATTACTAACATCCAAACATCTCAATTTAACTAAGCAAAGGCCCCTTTTCATTCGAAGGTTAGAGCATTATTCACCATGCTTGCCCAAAGCGGGTTGGCGATTATGGATATCGTATGTTTGAGTAATGTCAAGTAATCTTTCCCTAAGAGTTCATCAAAATATTTTGTAATTAATACAACACATATAGCTAATTATGTAAAAGGAAAATGAAAACCTCTCAACTTAATGAGATAACACATAGATGGTAAGCATTTGGCGTCGCCTTGCCCATGGACACCAGGAACACCAAAGGCGTTACAAGTGCGTTACCGGCCTTTTAGGGATTAGGAGTTTGAGGACCGTTGGGGATTCAGGGATTGGGGAGATTTGGGAAGGGGAGGGGGGGTATTTGGCCTTCGGTAACTCACTCACACGACGAAACACAACGCAAGCGTTGCTTCACGTCGGTTTTCTGCGAGGCCGTGGTATCACTCCGATCGAGCCGGCCTATTCGTGGCGAAGCGTGGCTCTCCCACACTAAAAATTAAAATGAAATACGTTTAAAATAAGTTCCTTGAAATCTCACAAGCTATTTATAGAAAGTTTCTGTAAAAGTTCTAATAGGTACAGCTATTTCGAGAAAATATAGATTTCAGAGCACATCCAGTTTTAGCTGAGGCAGTAGGTGCTATTTTAAGCTGAAAACTTTCAGGTTTCTCTAATGCTGTCGAACTTTGTGATTGGTATATCAAGTCTACAAGGAAAAAAAGGATTATTGTTGGTATTTTTTTAGTCTTAAATTACTGAAAACTTTGACCCATGAAACTTGAGCTTTGGAGTTTGAAATTATTTTTAGATAATTCATATTTCGAGCATTATTTTTAGAGTAGGTATCTAGTAAAGCTAATCGTACGTATAAATACGTACACATCAAGAACGATTTTAGCTTAGCCCACAAGTCTTGCACGTTCGTTTCGTTCTTGATGTGTACGTAGAGTGATGGATCGATAGTCATCACCATCTTAGCTTTAGCCTTCCGATCATCTTCCTTACTTAATGATGCACAGTTCGCAATGTCGATGCCTTCGAGAATAAGAAAGTTCTCTACGGCGAACGCCAAATCGTCGTAATTATCCCTTCCCTTCAATTTGGGGACATTTACTGAATAATTTCCTGCCATTGTAACTGCACTAACTAATAAATACTTTTAATTTTTGCCTGGGCCCATAACCTAATAAAACGCAGTTTTAGAATTCACAGTAACGACTAACAATTTATTTCCATAGACGAGCATAGACAAAATATAGGTACTATAGACAAAAAAATAATAAAGCTGTCACATACTGTCGTCTGTACTACTAATGACTATTATAGACTTACAAACTAATGAGCATTATTTTGTTACAATTAACAAAAGCGTCTATTTTAACATAATTATGAGAATGTAAGTTATTATTATCTTGCACTATGAATTTTATAATTAAAAGCTCTATTTTTATCTACTCGTAGTCGATTTTTGTTGCCATCGACAGTCGCGTACGCGTCCGCTCTGATTTGCCGGCTCCAATGAACCAACAAATCACAGCGCCGAACGCGATATCGTAAACGTAAAACAAACTCGTATTAAGGCCCCAGGTTTTAAAGACCACATTTTTAATAAGTAAGCCAAAGAAAAGTAATGTTATATTAAAACTAGATTTGAAAATATCCATGTTATACGCAAACCATTATATAATGAAACTTATTAGGCGGTTAGAAATGACCTGGATTTATTCACAAGTATTGCCAACATAAAAAACTGAGTAACGTTTAGATACACATTTTAATATATTATATAATAAATAATTAAATATAATGTTAAATCTGAATAATATTTCCAATGGCGTTTTGTAAACAAACAATTTTATAGGTAAAAAACAAGAGAATTTTCAAGAAACTAGCTAAAGCTTTGGAATCTTCAAATTTCGACATGTCTACTGAAAGGAGAAAGGGTATTGTCAACGATTGGATACTCATTAATAACAAGTATTTAAAAGTGGTCCTTACGCTGGGTTGCTTAACTTTGATCGTCTGGTAAAGTATGCTTTGTTACTATTCTATTTGAATACAAAGATTATGAAACCTATTGATGAAAGTATAAGACCTATAATAGTTTACATAACTTTATAAAAAAGCAAGTTTAACTTCCAAATTCCAATTCCAATTTTGTTTTATTTTTCCATTATAGGGAATCGTACCCAATGATCGATGAGTTGAAGTTCAATTTAATGGTGGACGTGAAACTCCCTTTTGAGTATCAAAGCCTACTGACATATATGGTGACGTATACAGCAGTGGCCATAATGTTCGCGTATGCGTCGCTCATGGTGATAATATCTGAGTTGATGATGCAAGCTCACTTGATACGCCTCATCTGCCAGTTCGATGTGCTGGCTGACTGCTTTGAGAATATCTTTGAAGAGTGTGCTGAGGAATTTCCAGGTATTACAGCTTTAAGTCAGACACAGTATTACAGCTTTGAGTCAGACGCAGTCGTGCGTTTAAATGCAGACTTTAGTAATTCCTTTGATACAAACGCTACGTACAGACACGTCTTATATTTGTTAAGGTACCTAAAGTGCATCAATTTTGCTTCAGTACGGTATAATATGTGCTTTTATCGATATTACAAGTTTTGAAACGTAATACTTTATATGGGCATTGAATAAGAAGATTCTTCGGAACCTAACAGGTTACTGGTTACTGGTTTTCCTACATGTCGAGCCGGAGCTCGACATGTAGGAAAAGGAACGGGGTGGTTTTAATCAGTAAGAGTCTGATCTTCCCTTCCGCTTCACCCAGGCGGGAGCAGTAATGCGATGATTTTCTCCCCTTAAAAAAAGATATGATTTTGTGTGATAAAAGCGACTGTTTTTAGCGCCAACACGTAGTACCTACCTCCCATAAATTATAACTTGAATTCCCAGTTTATATGCTATCAAAGAACAGTTACCAAACATAAACCCTGTCGCAATTGAGACAATGTCATCTCTCCCATTCACTATTCAATGCAAGTTAAAGCTTCCACTATGAAAGCAAATTAAAAGGCAGTCACTCTCAAAGCGGACTCGACGTCCCTCTTTTACTACGAACTGGGAAAGCTGGTGGAAAGCCCGCTTGAATTTCGAAGTGACAAACGTCAGATGTAAGTTTTAATATCGTTTGAGCTCTCTGAAATTATGTATTTCTATGAATATAAAATGTACTTAAGTATGGAGTTACAACAAAGAAAATTCAACATAGCATCACGCCTTTTTATCCTCAAAAGGGTAGAGGTGCACATTAGGGCGCTTATTGCCACTGTACCTCTACAATGTAACACCCACTTTTCACAATTTATGTTATGAACCCCGTGTAATAGAAGGTGAACCTATTGTCATATACCGGGCTCAATTTCAGACTACTGAGATATTTAAAAAAAAACCAGTAATACTTTGCCCGACCCGGGAATCGAACCCGAGACCCCTTGCCCCGGCAGTCACTCTTACAACCACTCGGCTAATGCAACGAGGCAGTAAAGAAAATTTTGTGTGCTGTTGAAGGATTTATGAAAACTTTTGACAGTTTTTTTAAGTGTACATATTATAATTTTGTTCATGACTAGCTGAGCCATGAGTACAATTTCTAATGAAAAAATTTACTACTGACTCATTTATATTTCTAGGATTCTATGTATCTTCTTAATGAGCATTCAGAGAAGAAATACCAATTTTTTGTGTCAAATATTTATAGCTGCCATTTTCAATGAATAGAAATAGAACTCATTTCTGATTTATCTATTATAATCCTTTATTTATTTCTATACTTGATATTTTATACATTTTTAAATATATGATTATAAAAAAAAAACATTTAAAAATATGAAAAGCACCACCAGTAACGGAAGAAATCCAAGCTACCGCTTTAGAGAGAGGAAATGCCGGACAATATGCGCCGTGTCCAGAAGTATTGCTTTCTGCATCAGGCCCTTGACCCAACCATCTAATGCTAGCCTACCCAGGTGTTGGTTGAGGCTTTTAGCAATGAGGCCATTGGCAGATACGATAATCGGTACCATGACTACTGAATCCACATCCCACATGTTGACAATCTCATGAGCTAAGGTTTATCTGATTGTTAGTTAGTTCACAGTAAACGAGTGCTGAATGTGTTTTCTCAATGTTTTCAGATTTAAAGAAACACGAGCTAGTAAAAGATAAGACGTTCGTTGATAAATACGTAAAGAGACTTGGAGATTTAGTGGCACAACATCGAGAGATTCTGGAGTAAGTTTCGAGTTAAATAATAAATTACCTTATTCCAGTAAAGATACGTGACAATTTACATTTGAGTACGTAGTTATTTTATCAGTTAATGTAAGTTGAGTAATTTCAGTACTTTGTAAGTGTATTTTTTTACTCCTTGCCTTTGTGTATCGAGAATGTTGAATGCTTTTTCATCACAGTTTTGATTACTTTACATTTCGTAACTACACTTAATTGAATTCAGAAGCTCCTGTATAGTAATCTATCTAGTTATGAAACTCATTTAAAAAAAATATAGCCTCAAAATATTAATCTCTGTGGACATCATTTTTCTACATTTTCTAGTCAAACTAACGATCTGCGGACAATATTAAGCGCTCCATTGCTGGGACAGTTGGCTTGCAGTGGTTTGCTCATCTGCTTCGTTGGGTACCAAGCTACTGCTGTAAGTACCTCCAATAGTAATATCTTTATTTATCGACGATCTCGATTAGTTTCAAGCCATGCTAGGGCTCATATCCATTAGCAGCTTTGCACGACACACCAATTTAGTAAGCAGTTAAATATAATAGGTATATAATTTAATATGTATCTCGAGGGTTATAATATACAAGTATAGTTATAGCATAAAAACGGCAACGTGACTTCAATATCGCAAATTTTCAATGCCTTACCTTAATTGCGCAGAAACTGGACTCCACATAAAGTTGAAAGCTGTACGTGAAACCTTTCCGTGGAAATATGGTTAAATTCATACGGTTTATAAGCTACGGGTATTAATCTGCTAGCGGTTGACTAAAACTCGGGCAAACTTGCTATTTCTATGGCCAGTCATGTTTTATTTATTTTAAGCCTGCGTGTGTCAAAGTACGTCAAAGTTTTTTTACTATACTTATACTATGTCTTCAGTTGCATAGAGAAAATTGATGACTCTAGATTACATTTTAATTTCTAATTAGATTTTTATTTCGGCAAGACAGGTGGTATGCTTCTGTTATTTTTTTCCAAAACAAAATATCGTACTATAGACATAACATAACATCACGCCTTTTTATTCACGAAAGGGTAGGCAGAGGTGCACATTACGGCACTTAATGCCATAGAGGGTGAGCCTATTGCCATATACTCGGCACATTTCCAGAGTCCTTGCTACTACTGAGATTTAAAAAAACCCAGTAATATGTTGTTCGGCCCGGGAATCGAACCCAAGACCCCTTGCCCGACAGTCGCACTTGCGACTACTCGGCCAACGAGGCAGTCATCGTACTATAATTTAAGAATCGTACTATATTAAGTAATATCGTCGTATATTAACCTTAAAAGTAAAGAATGATCAGTTCATGGACTAATAATGTAAGTAATATATAACACTGAAATACGTACCATTTATAAAACTACTAAAGCGCAATCTTGAAGCAATGATTGACAAGAATTTGTTCAAACACAATATCAGTATGATCTGTCAATCGCGATCGCCACGACAAGTCGCAAGTCTGCACAAAGGCGATTATTGAAAGGGATTTATCGAAAGTTGAAGCACCGGCACCGCTAGAGGATTTAGGATTGGTTATGGAGTAACACTGAAAGGAACGACCCGAAATAGAGGGACCCATTGTGCGAGGACGCGATATACATAATATATGTGAGGTAGAGGGGTCGTGTCAATTAGATCCGTCAAATTGGACGGTACGATTACAAGTGACATGGTTTTGTGGAACCTCTTCTTGTATAATGTATGCATACATATATATATGTACATATATAATTATGTACCTATGCGTATACCTATGTAGGTATATTGCTAGTGTTAACGGAGTTGTATGCAATACGTCAAGTCCTAGGAATTCCTAGAAAATTGTATAGATTTTAAAAATTGAATGGCAGTAATTCTGTTTTCTAACTTAATGCTTAATTTTTACTCATAATTAGGGTAGTCTAATAGATTATTTCAAAACATTAAATCATGTGTTTTTTATTTTCTTACAGAAAAATACTTTCGACGATATTTGAAATATCGCATGACGTCACTTCTATGTACGTTTTATACGTAGAAATGACGTTTTAGCCCCTACTCCCAAAACTTTGATTCGTTTTCTCAAAGTATTATTTTATTACACAACAAAATAAAAAATATATGTTATGCTGGACTAAATACTTTTTTTAATTTTCATACCCTGTCTTCATCCCTATTATAGGTACTACCACAAAGCCCAATCAATTAGATAAAAACTAAAACAACATATTCATGATACAAAACTATCTTCAACATGCCCCTTACACAAAACAGAGATAGTTTTTTGCTCAACAATACCTCAATCTGAACGACAATTAGTTACATGATTTATTAGAACAGCTTCATAAACCATCACGCAATTTATGGCTGTTATCTTTCAGACTATTGCGGAGAACTTGGGAAAATTTGTAATGAGTCTCCTGTATTTGGGGTACAACATGTTCACTTGGTACCTCATGTGCCGATGGTGCGAGGAAATCACTATAAAGGTATTTTTTTTATATACACTAGCTACTTTAATGCGTATTCACCTGTTGTTGCTTGGTTTCTATTGACAGCAGCGTGTTTAATAGCCTCAATAAATGGACTATCAAACACAATGAGAATTTTTGGATTCGAACTAGAACCCTTTTTTTGTCTTAGTCTGTAGTCAGTTCGGGATTTTTGGTAAAAAACTAAAAATGTTGAATATCTCAGAAACTAGCCACTTTCGGACCAGGAACCTCAGAGATAATTGTAGGAAATTAGTTGTTGTAACCTCCCGAGAGGAATACGTCGAGTTACAAGTCACCCTGTATCTTTATAATAATTCTGCTGTACGTGTGTATGTCATTGAACTCCTCCTAAACGGCTTGACCAATTGGTCAAGTAGTAGTAAATGATTTTTTCTGTATGTGTTTGAGCGCTATTGATCTATCCTTACATACTTTTTTTAATACCTTTATCGCTTGAAATATTATATACAAGACAACGTCTGTCGGGTCCGCTAGTATATATATAAAAATGAATCCCTTTTTCCCTTAGTCACGGCATCACGCGTGAATGGCTGGACCGATTTTAGTAATTCTTTTTTTGTTGTATTTGTTATTATTAGGAAAAGGTTCTTAAAACAGAAACAATCCTGAAAAGCCTACGGGGACGGGAGAAAACGGAATTGCGCGTATGAAGTCGCGGGCCGAAGCTATCATATAAATAAAACTACATTAAGTCTGTATTTACTCAACAAAATACAGTATACTACAAACAGGTGTACATATATACCTTCCTAAGTACGGTAGGTAATGGTAGTCCTTCGAAGTTTTCCCTGAAACTTCCCAATTACAGAGACGTGTCTTGTTTCACGTGCCTGCCAACTTATATAGCGGATGTTTCATGTAAATTACTCTCTACTGATGTTTTATAGTACCTGTATGTACTGTTGGACTACCTGTATATGTTATTAATACCATGTTATTAAAAACCTTGCGTTTTAAATCAAGGTATACATTTTTGCTTTCTAAAGTGTTAGAATATTAGTTTTGAAAATGACTATTACAATATCACGGCTTTTATTTCCTGAAAAGTTTAGTAAAAGTGCACATATATACCTATATATTTTTTATGTTGCCCCATACTAGGATTTTCTTCTGTGTCGTGGGTATATTAAATGTAATATAGTTTTCACCAGTTACATTATTTATTTATGAGTTCCATGACTATTGAGTCTATTGTCATTATACTGGGCACAATTCTAGACTCCTATCGCCATATTTGAAGTATCGATATTACTTTGCCTAACCTCGAAACTCCTTGCTCAACAATCACCCATAGGTATATATATGACCGGCCAATGATACAGTTTTTATATTTAGTTTCAAGCTAAATACATATTAAATTAATAAAAAATTCCGGGTATAGTCATGTAAATATTGATAAAAGCTCTACTAGTTTCAAGTCATAGAGAGACTCTTCCTCACGAGCAACGTTCGCGGACACTTTTCTTAATATTTACCTGAGTAGACCAACATTTTTAATACTTTTAGAGCCAGCGTATAGGGCAGTCAGCATATTTCTCCGGTTGGGAGAGTGGCATATCTCTGGCTCCTGGCGCACGCGCAACCATCGTCCTTGTGATTGCTCGAGCTAACAAACCCCTTGTATTTGTAGCTGGTGGCATGTACACACTGTCTCTCTCTTCGTATACCACCGTGAGTAAGGTTTAATGGTCTATTTTTTTTTGTAATACAAACGTGAGGAAACCTGGACTTATAATCTTTGATTATAAGTTTGTAATCGCCAATCCACCTTGAGCAAACGAGGTGATTGGTGCCCAAAACCTTATCCCTGTGAGAAGAGGCCTTTGCTCAGCAGTTGATACTCATATGTTGTATTTGGAAAGGAATAGATAAGTCAGTTGGCAGCGATATCCAGCAACTACTTGCGAGGGTATTGGGGGAGTTCAGCAGTAGACGTAATGTGGTTGATATGGCGATGACAATTAAAGGGATATAGATCGTAGTAGTAGCGTAGTAATCTTCAGACTTATTTGACTTTTCGGTTTAGTTATTTTAGACTTCAAAGAACATTATATTTCTTGGTAAAAGTTTATTTTAGTAGCATAGAGAAAACAAGTAACATTAAGTTGGTTTTGACTTTCGTCTTATCCTGGGCTATTTTTAAACACTAGGATGTAATCCTCCATTGATTTATGCCATCTTTATCAGGTTTACCCAATTTATGCTTCCCAATCTTTGATTGACTGCACGGTTGGTGCGGTGGCTGGGCAACCGGCTGCCGTGCAACGTGTCGCGGGTTCGATTCCCGCACGGGACAACACTTTGTGTGATCCACAAATTGTTGTTTCGGGTCTGGGTGTCATGTGTATGTGAACTTGTGTGTTTGTAAACGCACCCACGACACAGGAGAAAATCCTAGTGTGGGGCAACGTTTTTAAAAAAAGAAAAAAGAAAGAAAAAAGAAAATCTTAGATATTATTGTAAGTACCAATGCATTTGTGATCTTGACTTATAATACTAATATCTTAATTTCAGTTGGTGAAAGCTTCGTATAGTGCTTTGAACATTCTTCTCACTATGAGCCACGAGTGATCGTATTTAACAAAATTTATTAAGTTCGCTATCGATTTTAGTCACATATAGATACATTTAAGAAGTATATTAGTTTAAAATAAATACGAAGTAAAATGTGTAGACTTTCATGTTTATTTTCATTCAATCGCTCCATACAAGTGTGGGAGAGCCATGCTTCGGCACGAATGGGCCGGCTCGACCGGAGTGATACCACGGCCTCACAGAAAACCGACGTGAAGCAACGCTTGCGTTGTGTTTCGTCGTGTGAGTGAGGTTACCGGAGGCCCAATTACCCTCCTCTTCCCCAATCTCCCCAATTCCTCAAACTCCTAATCCCCAAAAGGCCGGTAATGCATTTGTAACGCCTCTGGTGTTCCAGGTGTTCATGGGCGACGCCGATTGCTTACTATCAGGTGATCTGTCTGCTCGTTTACCGGCTTATGCCATAAAAAAATACAAACCTACTTAATTAGATGAAGAAGAACATTGACTTAGTAATAATAATAGATAAAGTGAAACAATAGTTTAATATTAAAATGTTGAATAGTATGCCAACAAGGAGTGTTATTAAGTACTTCCGAGGCTCTGACCTCAATACACAAATTCGAGAAAATATTAAAAACGTAATGAAAAGCAAACAGAGGTAGCCAGAATTTCCCGGCTTTAAGTACAATTTGCTCGGTGTTAATAAAGGTATTAATTATTATTTTGCAGTGCAGTTGTGCTATTATTTTATAGAATGATTAATTACAATATAACAGACATTGAGTATTGCATCGTTAGATCTAAAAGTTGATGAGTTTGTCGGGTATGAAATGTAGAACAAAACCAACGTCAAATTTTGGTAAAAATGCTGTTATAACTTGACTTTCGTACCTCGCTTGTATAAATACTCACTAGTGTGTGATTCTTAATGAATTATTATTCTTCTTACTTATTGTTGTATATATATTCCTTGTTTCTTTTATTTTAATGTTATGTTGTTTACTCTCCTGTTTTTACTTAACGCATGCTGAAAATCTCTGTAATTGGCTTGAGGATTCTATGCCTTGTTATTATTATACATGTACCCTTTACTAAATAAGCTATTGAATTTCTTTTTAAAAAAAAAAACAGAAACGGTGACAGTGATGCGAAACCAATCAAAATAGTACCGTTGCGTTACTTCCAGAATGTTCTTTCCACGTATTTTCGACCAATTCGAATCAAGGACCAAAAATAATATTAAATACAATATAGTTGTCGTGCTATCCATAATAAACGATCATACTCAAACAAATCAGCTTGCCACTTCAAGTCATGCCATGCAAATTTGTTTTTTATAGACAAAACTGTCGGCTTAACAAAGGTCTTCAAATATAACAGCAATAATAATTCTGTTCGTGTATTAGTACTTTGTTGTGAGCTATTGTGCTCGTTTTGCATAACAATGGGAAGTGTTCGCACACAAGGTACCGACAGAAGTCACTGGGCTTGTAGAATTCTTTTATAAAAGTAAAGTTAGCATTTGTCTACTTGAGCAAACATCGCATGGTCGAACGGGCCCTATATAATATAGTAATATAGTACCTACCTCATTATTAATTTACAATAATTGAAAGAGAATTAAAGACATATTGGTTGAACATAGTGTAGGTTTAATGAAGTAAATCAACTGGTTTAATAAAGCTATCTTTATGTTATCTACTTTATCAGAAGCGATCCTATTTCCTTGACCTATTTCAGTACAAGTAAAGCACAAAACGAAGAATGTACTTTTTCATTATCGCAAATAAAATCATTTAATTTAGCACTGTAAACGAAACTCAGTTAAGGACCTAATATTTCATTTAAATGTTTGCCTATCTGATAGACAATATGTAATTGTGTAATATCATATACCATATAAAACTAGACTACAGTAGACTGCCTCGTTGACCGAGTGGTCGCAAGTGCGACTGCCGGGCAAGGGGTCTCGGGTTCGATTCCCGGGTCGGGCAAAGTATTACTGGGTTTTTTATAAATTCTCAGTAGTATCATGGAGCCTGGAATTGTGCCCGGTATATATCAATAGGGTCACCCCCTATTACATGGGACTCATAATATAAATAGTGAAAAGTGGGTGTTACATTGTACAGTGGCATAATGTGCACCTCTGCCTACCCCTTTGGGGATAAAAGGCGTGAAGTTATGTTATGTTACCTTATAAAACTACTTATATATACTAGTAGGTATATGTACTTATACATACTTCTTTTGTCTTAATAATTTGGATGACTAACTGTCTACTGGCATAGAGGGCATTGAACTTTCAAGATAACAACGATTATCACTAGGCGGAGTTTGGAGGAGAATATTTCAATATCTTTTATATATAGGTATATTATATTTGTGGAAAATTGTGGATAATATGATTATAGTAGCTAAAAACCTAGTTATGTATAAGATTATAAAAACGGTGCTTAATTAGTGTATAGTGTTAGATATATACAGTCTAAAACAAATTAACTCAACATGGGTATGTGGCTAAATGTGGGAGAGCCATGCTTCGGCACGAATGGGCCAGCTCGACCGGAGTGATACCACGACCTCATAGAAAACCAACGTGAAATAACGCTTGGGTTGTGTTTCGTCGTGTGAGTGAGGTTACCGGACGCCCAATGAATTCCCTCCCCCTCTTCCCAATCCCTGAATCCCCAACAATCCTTAAATTTCTAATCCCTAAAAGGCCAGTAACGCACTCGTAACGCCTCTGGTGTTTCAGGTGTCCATGAGCGACACGCCGATTGCTTACTATCAGGCGATCCGTCTGCTCGTTTACCGGTTAATCCTATAAAAAATAAGCATGTTAAAAATTGAGGATGGACACCGTTGACGAGGTGTTTAATGAAAAAACATTTTTATACCTAAAAACAACTCCAATTCGTGCAACTAACCACAACACTAGATAGAAAAACCGCCCTCACTTGCGGACGTGACAAAACAAAGTCGTCGTCAGACTTTCAATTACAAGTTAAGCAACACCGACTTTACTTAGTAATAAACAAACTTCGTAGTTCTCTATTTGCGATTAATTATTCCATAAGGGAAAATGGCAGTGACCGTTGCCAGCTCCCCTTGGCGTTATAAAATATTCAAGCTCTCCACTTAGCCCTGTGATCGGCGACTCACGACTCCTGCATTATTTATAAATATGAGATATTTCATAGACATTCGTGATGAAACCTGTTATCACTGCTAATGGTTTGGCGAGTGTTAAAATTTTAGCTTACTACTTATAGTTCTAGTTAATGTAATTGTTGATATGTGGGGTGTTCGTTGTATAAGGTTGTCTTGATATTATGTCAGGTAAAAGATTTTGATATTTGTTTTTAACTAAATAACTTATTTTTTTAAAGAGTAGCTATTGTTCGCTTACCTCCATAACAAATGAATTTTTTACTGTATTTATGGTAAAACATATTCGGTGTAAAAACTTAATTTAAACTGACACTATAAAGGCAGTGAAAGCGAACTACCCAATGATATAAAACTAAAAATAACCGATGCGAAGGCAGGCAGTTCAGTTCAGGTAATACGTTCAGTCAATGCAGACAGTTCCCGGTAACCAATTTTCCGGTACGGTACCGTCAGAGCATTTTATATGGTTCCAACGAAATTGGGAAAAATCGTGTTTCCCAAGACTTTCGGAGATAATTCTATCCCCTTTAGGAAGACGAGACGAGTTCCCTTTACAAAAGGTTTGGCTCGAGGAGATTATAATAGGTGACTCGTCCACATCGATATTGAATGGTATATTTTTATATACCCATCTTGTAAGCCAATATTGGGGTCTTATTTATATTACAGACGTTATTTAAAAAGTAAGTAGAAGAGAAGTGGTTTCTTTTTGGTGGTTTGTTGGTACGGAGGTAATTGCGGTTGACAGAGCTTTGGGTTTAATTAAAAGCTCAGCAGGCGTAAAATATAATTGGATTCATATTTTGACTTCTATACTAAAAAATAAAATTGTGTGTTTTGTTTACTCTTAGAATAACACATTGCAACCTCGCAGCTGTTACCTACTCCGCGAATGGGGTACGCAGAAGTATTATTTAATGTAATGGTAATTAGGTAGGTGTATTATGGGTCCTATGTGATACAAAGTGAAGCTAATACATTTTAGATAGGTAACCTAATTATGAAAAAGGTAGTGTAATATACTTACTGTCTACATAAAACCTATTTCTTTATGTACGGCTTCAGTTAATAAAAGATGTGAATTTATGATTGAACGATGATATTAATAAAATTATTAAAGGAGACGTTTAAAATATTTTACCGAAACAACGAGAATAAGGTTTTCTCCTGCCGTTCGAAACCTTTGTTCGACTTTTAGATTGTTAAAAGTTTTCATAAACTTTCCGTTAACAATGTAGGTACCCATCCGTTTTCCGATAAGGTATTTGAAAGTTACGATAACAATACAAACGGAGGGAATCGTTTTAAGAGTATTTATCTATTATAAGATGTGATTTGCCTTTACTGTTGATGTTTAAGCATATCAATTTCCGATAATGGAGTTTCTGGCTCGTTCTTCTCCATTCGAATCTACTTTTTGGAATGAGCACCTAGCTTCACCTAGTTTCACTGACGGACTGACTGACAGACTATTATTTATTTGTATTTGTTGACGTTTTAAAAGTACCAAACTATGGTTTAATTGAAATAAATGCTTTGACTTTGACTTTGACTTTGAGCGTGTGTAAGTAAAATTTCAAAAAGTAATAATATAAACGAATGTCACATAATTTCAGATGCGATTCCCGGGTCAAACAATGTCGTTGTTTTACGTTCTACTTATACATGCTCACCATAGAGGTCATTGAATGATAATATATGAGTACTGGGCACAAGTAGATGAGTGTTCTAAACACTATAGATTATGAACTCTATTGTTTATGCCGTGCAGAAAATATGAGATTCGAAGGTAGGTTTTTTTGAACACGTTCCAACTACCTATCATAAAAAATAACAAAATAAAATAACCTCAATCCCAGACC